AGCTATCGATCTATCTATCGATCGATCTATCTCTGTATCTATCTGGGTGTGTACAGGGTTATTTTCCATCACCATTTCTTCATACCATCACTGTGTTGTTACAATTCCATTACCAGAACAATGTTTATACTGTATTTTACCCCCAACACCAGTCCTCCTCCCACCACCTGTCACCAACATGCTCACACGAACCACTTCCGAGGATACCTTTAATTTACTCTTAATAACTTACCTGTTCACGATACTGGTGATGGTGATAGTGGTGGTGATGATAGTGGTGATGATAGTGGTGATGATAGTGGTGGTGATGATAGTGGTGGAGATGATAGTGGTGGTGATGATAGTGGTGGAGATGATAGTGGTGGTGATGATAGTGGTGGAGATGATAGTGGTGATATTGGTGACTTGAGGAAGGTTATGATGATGGTGATTATAATTACGGTGACGTTGGTGACAGCGATGATGATTATAATGAAGGGTGGATAAGGTTGAGTTTTCCCCATTAATACCACCACTCAGCACCACGTCTGGTAATTTGAGTCTCAATTTCACCCTACTTAAGAAGGTGTCAAGGTGTCGGAGGCTTGAGCAGGCCCTTACACACACACATCCTCACAAACAAACTTTTACCCCGTTAAGAAATTCGTCGACTTTTATCAGCTAATTAAAGAACTACTTCAGTTAGTCTAGCGTTTCTATTGGCTGGCCCATTTCTTTGGTCTTAGTGTCAGAGTTCTTTATTGATCTGCATCTGTCCGTCCAGCGAGTCCTACCAATGTCGGTTTATCTCAACGCTTCCGTGGATATCTCATTATATTCTTAACCTGTTTTATTGTTTTCTTTTCTAGATATATTCATTCCTCAGATGGTGTCTTTGGTATATGAGGTAGACATAATGGCTTCATTTTACAGGTTAGTTTCGAGCCGTCCCCGGGTAGTGACGTCACTCCTGCAGGCCCTCACTACCACCCTCACCAGGCAGGAACAGCTATAGGTCAGGTCAACGACTGGTACAGAGACCATGACCTTAAGGATGAACCATACAGTGATGCGTGGAACGAGGGAGACAGCGAGGTGGAGGAGGATATGCCACCGCTGTCGCCCGCCAGAGAGAAAGACTCAGATGGCGGGAGAAATGGACGCCGTCGGGGTGGCAGCAGCAGGATGAGGCCCCGTGGACGGAGGCCCCGGCCACCTACCACTACGGAGGGCGTCATCAGGGTGGCCTTCTCACAGGTGACAGTCAAGGCCAAGTACCAGGTACGAGGGAGTGCTGGCGGCTTCCTCACCTTCAGGGAGAGCGGCGACCTCACCCTCACAGCGCCCACCGTCTTCCTCACCACGCGCCTCAACGTCACCCTCCCTCAGCCCTCAACCTCACACCGCCGCAGAACACAGAGGTTGGCGCCCTACACCTGCCACTCTTGCCCTCATGTTAATTAATTCATAATATAAACATGTATTCACTAAGTATTTTCCTCGTTTCACTGACAGCGTTAATTATTACTCATGTATAACTATTAATAATGAATTTAAAAATGTTTTCTACCTACAGCTTGAATAATTTACACACACACACACACACACACATTGGCTACCCCACAACACTGCTAATTTATGGGCAACACTATTAAATCTACGGACTTGCTGACCCATATTTCACTATCAAAAACCTGTAATAGTTTTTCATAAAGACCGACGCCATCAATAACGTAAAGGTGATTGTGATTTTATGAGTACATCTGGGAATATTTATATCAACAAGTAAACACCCCCCCCCCACCCACCCACACACGCGTCTGACTTCTAAACAACAACAAACAAAAAATCTCCTTGGGATACTTTAATAACTATCCCTAATACATTACCCATTCAGATATTATTGTAGTATCGTAGCCTGAAGTTAGTAATTACGTTAGATTACAATACGTTAAGTTAGGTAATAAGAAATGACGTCACAATAGCGAATATATTGTTACTATTATTGTTTTTGTTGTTATTTGGGTCAGCAGGCACGGCAGAGTGAAGGTATTATGGCTGAAGAGTGACGTCAGTATCGCCAGCACCACCCTCAACCTGCACCCAGGAGCCTACCCGCCTGAATGGGTCCGTCAACAGGTTCAGTCTAAGGTAATAAACTATACTGTACTAGGCTTCAGCGTCCTACCCAGCCCCTACCTCTTAAAAATGATTACGTATCCTAGTATATGGCTTCTAGTTCAAAATGTGTCCTATTTTAACGGTTCTAGTTCAAAATGTTTCCTATTTTAACGGTTATAGTTCATGTGTCATATTTTAACGGTTCTAGTTCAAAATGTGTCCTATTTTAACGGTTCTAGTTCATGTGTCCTATTTTAACGGTTCTAGTTCACAATGTGTCCTATTTTAACGGTTCTAGTTCACAATGTGTCCTATTTTAACGGTTCTAGTTCATAATGTGTCCTATTTTAACGGTTTTAGTTTTTGTATCATTATTTACGGTTTCCGATTCCTTATGTGTCCTAGTTTAAGGTTTATAATTCCTTATGTGTCTCTCAGTTTAGGTTTCACATTTCTTACCCCTGTTCATTCATTTTAGATTCTCTTTACATTTCTTAATCCTTGTTCAGCATTATCATCACAGTCTCTTTCTCTTTGTTATCCTTCGTTTACTCTCATTTTCTATCTTTATATCCCAGTTTAACATTATTTTCCCATTCTCTTATTAATTTCGTATCTGTCCTTCCTCAGCGTCAAGGTTGTCAACTTAACATATCAACTGGAAGTAATTTGGAGTTTGTTTCCTAAATGACTGACACGCGACTTACGAGCTGATGTGAGCAATTACCGGACCAGCGTGAAATGGGTTATTAAAATGCTAAAATGAATGTCATAATATTGCTCGTGGACTGAAATGATCGTGAAAATACTGGAATGAATGTCACAATGTTATTTATGGAGTAAAGGGGTGATCAGACTCTTGGGATGAATATGCTAATGTTGTTTATGAGATTGAAATGGGTGATTAAAATGCTAATGTGTATATTTACATTTACTAAAATAGGCCGAAAAGAAGTTAAGGAAAATATTACAATGTACCAAAATGAACTTAATTTACTGCATTTTTGCTGAAATAGGTATGAGTTGTCGAAATGGTCAAGTTTACATAATATAACGTAAACAATGGCCATGTTTACATATAACGTAACCAACGGTTTTATTTAAAACGTAACTTCGACATGTCAGGGTCAGCAGGTGGCAGTACATACCATTTATAGGAACTCCATTACGGCGTATTTATCATTCATTTCGGGCCAGAACGAATACGTGCATGGCGGCGAAAGGTACATGGGAGTGGTCTTGTTAACGATTGGATGATAATAAAAATAAAAGATTAGATGAGTCAAATAAATGGTTAAATTACTCCCCAAAATTTAAGAGATACGCTTTTAATGGTTTTCGTCACCGTCTGCTATACAGTATAACGCAAGTCTGAAAAAAAAAAAGATTTAAAAACAAAATGGAATCGACACCGGTATCCATTCCCCTAAAAACTGCCTAAACTAATGGCATTATTACCAGAATACTGTTCCTACACAATGAAAAAAAAAACCTTTACAGTTCAGTTATGTTATTTTAATGGTATTTTTATATGGGTGGTTAACAGAGTATGGTACGATGCGTTAGCTTCCTGGACCACCGAAAAGTTAACGTTCCACTCATCACAGACAACACACACAAATTGCCACAAAGGTAAATGTTTGGTTTACCTCCAACCATTTACTTTTGACGGAAAACTCACTGATATGTTTGTTTTAATATAGAGGATGCAGGGGAGGAAGGAAAGGAATGTGTGGAAACTATTTATGATGGTTTTGGCCATACGAACAAACCTAGTCTAACCTAATCTAGCAGAATCACCCTAACTTACGGCGCTATAAAACTATGTTCTTAAAGCATGTAGCCAGTAAAGAGTGTACAAGGCTATATTTACCTATAAACACGACTCTTAACTTTACTAACGAGTGGACACGTTATTAGGGTAAATTAGCGCCAGAAATCCCATTGAAAAAAGTGTCTTAGAATTGCAAAAACTACCGACTGCAACTATAAAACTTCCAGGATCGTTTAGTGGCAGAGTGAAATAACACTGTTATTAGAAATGGCATTATATTGTCCAACCTCCTGGTCCCTGTAAGTAAACATTGCCTCAGTAAAACAACGGTTTTAATTCCCACTTACCTTAATAATTATCAGCCCATGTACGTTAATCTTCAGATATTCTTGATTATAAGAATATTCCACCAATATAAGGTAGTCCCATGTAAACACGCACCTACTGCCATCCAAGGATAAAATACTCTGCTCCTTGCTGCCAGTCGGACTGACACCTGGCTAGTTTGTAATTTACATTGGTGCATAATGACGTCACAGGTACGTCAGCAAGGCGGGAATTGTTGAAAAAAAATATCATGAACGAAACCGCTAAATAATATATATATATATATATATATATATATATATATATATATATATATATATATATATATATATATATATATATATATATATATATATATATATATATATATATATATATATATATATATATATATATATATATATATATATATATATATATATATATATATATATATATATATATATATATATATATACAGTATTACCCCGCCTAACGCGGTTTCACTTAACGCGTTTTATCATATACGCGGTGCCTCGCCAGAGCTGAACTTTCACTTAACGCGGAATTTTTCATCATATACGCGGGAAGCGGCGCGGGCACGATGCGCACAAGGTCGCCCAGTCATCAAAACATTACCGAGTTCTTCACCCGCCACCCACCACAGCCGGCCCAAGTCAGTGATAGTGATAATTATAGTGAGGATATGGACTTATATGGCCTTTGAGGGGTTTGACAAAGAGGCCCTGCAAGCCTCTGTGGTGGATAGTGATACAATTGATACAAGTGATACAGGTGAGGGCCAATAATCTGCCCTCTGCCTCGGAACCAACCCCCCATCCCCGTGTGCCCAGCCATCTTTTCTACTAATGCAAGTGTTAAAAAACCTAATATTATTGATATTTCTCTTAATTATTAATTGTGTGTGCATACCATCATAAAGTTAAGATAAAATTTTTACTACAACATAATTGTGTGTCGTCAAAAAGTGGAGTTTGGGGGTCGGGCCAGTCTCTATTGGAATTAATCCCATATGTTCTGTTGTTCACTTAACGCGGTACCCTGTGGGTTCAATTGACCGCGTTAAGCGGGGTACTACTGTAATCATAGTTTTGTGCACTAATTCCTGATCCTGGTGTAATGTTCGAATGTTATTTGTGTATTAAGCCAATGCAATACTGACCTATCTAAAACTGTACGTTTTCAACATTTAAGAGGCCTATAGATTATTTTAATAAACTGTCCCAATTCTTTCCATCACTGTATACATTTGACTGGTTTACATAATATATATTACAGTGGCCTACAGTCAGGTTGTTTTACAAAATCTTGCAGGAAATCCATGCACTTTATATTGATGTGTACTATTCATCACTACTTTCTGTAACTAAAAAAATTATTTACCTTACTAATTCCTTCAGTTAATATACTTTACTCATTTTTAAGATATTCAACATTTATTGTATTTACCACACTGATTTCTGGAATAACTTTGGTCGTTTTTTTTTATTCTGTACTATTTACACTATAAATGTAACTAATTTCTGTAATATAATGTATGTAACGTACATTACTGATGTATGTAACATTAATACACATGTCTAACTTCATTCTTTAAGATCCAACACTTACTTTCTGCAGTTAATAAAGAATTTGTTGATTAAATTTGATAACTTTTCTTTCATGCGTGATGGTGTAGTTGGAGGAGCTGTCTAGTGACCTGAGCCAAGGTCACGGTGCTGTCCGCCTGCTGCTGAGGCGCTGGGGCAAGATGCTCAAGAAACTCATCCATCGCACGGCACGTTCTGTACAGTGAGGGAACTTCTCCATCAAGTACATAACACCTATTGAACACCTTCATCAAGTGAGCAACTACTTCAATTGAACAGTTTATATGCAGTATGTGAATATTGTCATCAAGTGAGTGACACCTCCATGTGAACACTGCCTTATATAATGAATGTTGTCATTAAGATAACACTTTTATTGACCAACACTTCTAAGTGAAAGATACTAGTGAGTCGCACATCAAGCAAGTACTTGTTGTAAGTAAGTGAATACCATTAAGCAACACCTTCAATTACATTTTGTCAGTAAGTGAATGTAATTTTCTGAACAACTGTCATCGTGTGAACACCAGCTGCCACCCCACTGTACTTCAGCTCAACTCTCACATTATTACCACACTATACCCAGGATGCATGACCAAATGTTCTACACCTAACTAACATTATTGTATGACATTAAATAAAATAAAAATATACAATATGTGATAAAATTTGGTGACCTCAGGAATATAACTTAAAACCTGAACCAATGTTTAAAATTTTCTTCCTAAAGTTGCAGATTTGGTCAGGTTTGGTTAGGCTACACTCTTTTGGACACAGTGCTGTATTCACTAATAGATTACGTAACTCATTCATGAACATCATGAACACCACTTAGAGATAAACCTCTTTCATTTATCTGTATTACTGTTTAGTCATTCATCCCAATCAATTGTGAATATAACTTCTTTACAACCATAAAAGCCAGAACATACTGTACAGTACTGTATATTGTTCCCACTATTGTTAATTGCAAAACAAAACAATAGACTTCCCAAAGGAAATACTGTACTACATATTGATGACTTCTCAAGGAAATTAAAACTTCAATAAATCTCAAATTACTTCAAGTCCTACAAGTAATTCATGTGATCTAGATAACTCAAACAGCTTCCATCTCCACAATAAGTCTCAATGATTTCTATTCTAAAAATTCATTCAGGTTAACTTTCAAAACCGGTGGAATAATTGGTAAGTTCTATAAACACAAAGACATTATCACACAACGCTTAGAATCATCCCTGTATCATAAACACACATGTGACAGTTGCCTGGTGTTGAATACTGTCTGTACTCTGCCTTGTTTCTTAAAGATGACTTGGACTTGCAAGCTGATTTCACACATTGTCCACCTTATGAAATACAAATAAACAGTACATCTACGTAATATTGTATATATTTTGGATAGTTATGCATTGTAAGGAGGGTATAGTGCCTGTACAATCTTACTTTTTAATCCAGAACAAAGTTAAAAGACAATTGTGCACAGAAGCATTGATATAATAAAGTATTTCATAAAAGTTACCCAGGCAGTTCCTTCACTTGTGTCACAAACAAATCAATATGTTGAATTTATAAGCAATTGCCCAACGGAATGCTCCACATCTTTTACCCTTAGAGGTCTGGAGACAATCAATGGATAAATGTTGAGGGAAGGTTCTCCATATGGCTGAGATGTCAACATCTACAATGACTAACTTGTTTTCCGTAGCATAACACCAGCGGCCAATCCAGAATCTGATCCACTCAAGTACTGACACAAAAGACAATAGTTACAGATATATGGTACAGTTGAAGGTTGTAATTGAGCTGTTTATTGCTAACCATTGGCTGGCTGGTCCTTGTTATTAAAAGACAAGGAAATATGATCCTCTAAAAAACATCACCACAAACATCTCACTGTATTGTATTAACTATCAGTCTTTATTATAATGAACCTTTCTCTGAGATGGTAGAACTATTTGTAAAACATTCTTTGTTATACATCAGTGGGAGTCCATCAATGTTGAATCTGTAAAATCATCAAGTACTACTGTATAAGTGAGAAAATTACTACTGTACGCATGCATGTAAATATGTATTAGTATAATGAACTGCCTACACTTGTTCCCCATCTATTTAACCAGTATGGTATCTTTTAAAACATCGATTTCATGCATATCACTTATATACCTTAATAGACTTGTAATGAGAGAGACAATCCCTGTTTATATATATAAGCTTCCACACTGCTGTTAGTCTGTTAGGTTTTTCATGTCTAGCATACAAAATACCAATAAATAAATCTGTTCTGTACTTTATAATTTATTAATGGTTTGTTATACGGTATTCTGTAAGTGAATTTATCTATGTTGTACTTTTTCATATTACAGAAATGTTGTTGGTTGAGTTGTAGGTAATATTAGTGAACCGATGAAGATATCAAATATTATGAGTTGTCAAACAATTCTGTAATAAACCTGTAATTAGCAATGTAGTAGAACATTTACCTAAACTGCTCAAAGGGTATACCATATACTTATTAGTTTGTCAGATCATAATAAGCTTGGATAAAAGAAAGCATTGAATTAAAGTTTGGCCTTAGTACAATTTCACTGAAGCATTAGTTGTCTTATTTTTTATTTGATATTAATTTATCATTTGTAACAATTATCTGCTTACTAGCCATCTGGGTGTTCGGTAATTTCTTTGTTAGACCTTCATTGCCCAGTGTTATTACAGGAGGAAACCAGAATATTGTACCCTGAGAAATTCTACGATAGGAAACTGACTGATCAAGCCAAAACAATGATGCGAGCCTACGTGAGCATTACTGGAAACTCCCTTCATCTTGTGGAAAGTTCTGCTATATGGAGAAGCAAAACCCAGCACAAATTTGTTCTGCTAAAAGAAATTCCATTATTAGGAATGATTACTGTACTACAATACTCAAATTCAAGCCCATTTGTTACCTATAACTTCTGGATCACCTAAAGATTAGACACCCTGGCTTACTTCACATGATAATTAAACATCCAAACACTAACCTAACCTAATCCCCCTGGTAGAAATAAGGTTTTTATTCATCACATGTAATAAACTGGGGTGTCTGATCTTCAGGTAATCAGATTTTACTTTCCTAACAATTCTCACCAAAACTAAATCCAAAACATTATTTATCATACTTGGAAGATCTATGACTACCAGTAGCAACATACAGACAAAGAACAATCCACAAGTACCTGGATGATGCTGAAGAAATTTATATTAGTCTCATTGTGGTGGTCAATAGTCACAGGAAAACTGACAAGCTAGCATGAGGAAGGATCTGGAGTTACTTCATGATAAGAGGTACAGTATACGTACATGCAGAAAGTTGGATAAAACTAAAAGAATAGATTGAGGGAATAATATTGTGTGTCAACAACAGCTAAGTAAAGGTGTGTACTAGCAGTGTGGGAGACTATGTTAATGACAATTAGGTAATGATGATGTGTACTTTTAGAACCAGGAAGTGCATTCATTGAAGCTGTCAATAAGAAGTAAATAGAGATGTGCCGTGACTGTGTGTATCTAGGTGTCAGGAAGCAGTGGTGGATCTGTAGGGAAAATTAAGTGGAAAGTGCATATACGAGAATACAATCTGCAGTTCAAGCAAGTGTGAGCCTGTTAGAGAAAATGTTTGTATGGAGGAACAGAGATGAGTAATGTTGGAGCACATGACATAATGCAATGATGTATACTGTGAGAGGCAATTACATGGAGGCTCTATGTATGGTTGGTTTTATTATTTATTTAATCCACAATTTACCATTATGGAAGACAACCTCAAGAACTTTAAGGCAGAATGTTGAAAAAAATAGTTTATTCAAAGATACATTTACTGTTTGTGATCTCATTATTTCTGTTCTATCTATGAAGTCCACTATATTGGGAATTAATTTTCACAGCCTTGAACAAATTTAAATGAGAATGGAGAAGTTGACGTGCAATGTGACACTGAAAGGCAGGAAACCATGTTGAGAGCTAAGAGGGTGGCTGAGAACTGAGAGTACAGTATTGGGAAAGTTTTGCATACAGATAGGCCAAGATGGTTTGGTCATATGATGAGAATGGATGATATCAATTGAGTGAAGGGATGCAGAACTAAATGTGGAGGGGAGGAGAGCCAGGGGTAGGCTTATATGAAATGACAAGGGGGTTAAGAACCTATTGAGAGATACTCTGTAGTGTGGAGAGCTGCCATTAGGTAATCATGGCTGATTCACACAAGCATGGAAAATGGCCATAAAACATTATTGATGATGAGGAGTTAATGAAAGATTAAATACACTAAAGATTTTTATGACAAGTGATTTTCTTAGCCATCAAATGGAATAAGAGGGGAGTAAACCTGAGTCTTCACAGTTTATGAATAACAATAATTTAATGAAAAGTAATTTGCTTCATTTTTTGAGAGAGGACTAATGTATAGGGTTGTCCCATACCACAAGTGAAGCCCTTACAGTGAACTTATAAGTCAAGACACAGTGTGAGGCAAGATTGGTGGGCCTGGTGTGTCATACAGGTTGTAGTGGCTACAGTTTACCTCCTTCAGTCTCTCTGGATATTTTAAGAACAAATTGATCGACTACAGTACTAGAAGTCATACAGTACAGTACACTAAAATGGTAACTTTCAATTGAAGGAATAAAAGCACCTAATACAGTACTGTTGCCTCAGAAAACTATGACATCATTTAGTGGAAAATGGGAGTTCCTCAGCTGATCATTACCACAAATATTACAAAATAATAATAAACTTGCTAATAAATATACAGTACATTCTATTAAATAATAAATACCATAGAGATAAATTACTTTCATTCCAATTTCATTCAGGATTGTCTGACAGAACCATCCTCAAGCATTTTCCTGTTCTTTTCTCTGCTGTCAAGTTAAATAAAAAGCAAGTATCAGTGCGTCCTGCCGGTGGTATCGTATAACAACGTGCGCGAGAACTGTACTGGTGTGTACGTCTTGTTAAGGGTCTCATCTTTTTGCATCGAATTAAACCATCTGGAGATGTTCATGTATTGCTCCTGTGGAATAAAAGGAAAATAGGAATTATATAACAATTCACGCATTAAGTCTAAAGCATCACATGTCAGTACAGTATTTTATGTTTAGTTGTGGAGAGATATGAAAAAAATAGGTAACTGACATATATAATGTATACTGTACTGTATTTCTATTCCCATCTAGTTGTAGGCTAAACTGTTTCTTGTCATAAAAAAACAAGAGATATAGATTTATGAACCAATTACAAGTGGTTGGGTGATTTGCTATCCAGAAAGACAGGGGCAAAAATATTAGGCAGGTACAGAATATTGGGTTACAGTTCATTCTATTTCAAAAGGTATCAACTCTCCAATATTAGTTCCCATTTTGTTTTTTGTTTTCTACTTTTGTATGCCATTTTCCACTACAACAGCTTGTGATATGAGTCAAGGACACAAAGTCTCCCACCATTTGCTGTCATTCATTCTCACTAAATGCTGTAATAAATATCTTCAAATATCTTTTCAATCTTTCCCTACGTCTAATTTCCTTTTTTGTCAACCTATCAAGACAGTCCTCACTCATATCACACGGAACAATAAGCTACACTACTGTAATACCTTCTGTAAGAAACTCCAGCTGCACATGAATGGATGAAGTGCGAGGAAGACGACCAAGTCAGCAACTGTTGGAGCGTAGCCACACAGGAATGACCGGTTCAACAATTCTTTATTAATGTGCTGCAGACATCCATTCAAGGCCTAAGAGAATTGAAATGTTTGTTCAGTATAAAGAATAACATTTTATTTATACAGGTATAAAATATGTGACATAACAAAAAATATATCTGAAATGCTGTACAGTAGTGATATTATACACAAAAAAATTGTTATGCAGAAGAGAAAGTTGACATAATTTACAGGAACCTTTTTAAAATTACAGGAAATAAGAAGGGTTTCTTTTAATAGTTTCTATACAGTACAAAATAAAAAATAAATAAATACAGCAAATTCATGATTATCTCTGTACTGACTGAAGGAATTAACTACAGGTCTTGTGATATTTTCTTCTCACCTCAAAGGTTGGACAGTGGAAGAGGTCAGTTGTGCAGTATGTGAGCCAGTGCTGTGTGAGACACTTTTCTAGTACAGTGTTGCCTTCAAGTTCCTTCCTCTTCAAGCGAACGAGACTTAAAGTACCACAGACAAACCCCTCCGTCTTCTTTCCTCCAACTTCAACAACAACCTGAACAAAAATTAAAAGTTCTCAGTTAATAAACAAAGTAGATAAGGATAAGAAGTCAAAATTTCACATGCCATCCGCAAAATTGTCCCCAACTTATTTCACCTTAAGATTAACCATCCTAATATTAATGCTAACCTAAACTTCCCAGACATTTATGGAGTTATTTCAGACACCTCAGCAGTTTAATGAAAATATTACTAGGCAGTTAGGTAAGGTTTCTTTGGTTGGTTAGGTCAGGTTCTATTAGGTTCTAGTATGTGTCTCCTCTTTTAATTATTTACTATAATGATCAGAACATCTGTGGAAAAATGAACAAAATTGAACAACTCCTTCTGGTGGTAGTGCTATTCTCATACATTACCCAACTTTTTACTCAGATAATGTCCCAAGTCTCCCCATGTCCCAAGTCTCCCCATGTCCCAAGTCACCCCATGTCTCAGGTCTCCCACACTCAACTGAAGAAGAAGAGTTACCACTTTATTTCTCAACAATTTATTTTTAAGAAATCTATTATGATAAATTTGTCCTCGTTAACAAGATGCAAATTTGGCGGAAGATAAAGTGTGTTGACTCATCCGTTTACAAATATCTTGAGGAATAGGCAATGGATATTTTGCCATAACTGGTAAGTTCCTATTAATGCTATTTTACCGCGAGTGAACTCTGATTGGCTAACCGTCCATTACCATTTGACCATCATTCTGGCAGCATTCGGCATTTATTTTGCCGTGAGTCGATTTTGGTTAAACTGTAAACATACCTAAACATATTTCTGTTGTACATTTTAACGTATCATTATAAGAGGCAACATTTACTTGAACCTAATATAACCTGATCTAACCAACCAAAGAAACCTACCTTACGTTACCTACCTTACGTTACCTACCTTCCGTTACCTACCTTCCGTTACCTACCTTACGTTACCTACCTTACGTTACCTACCTTACGTTACCTACCTTACGTTACCTACCTTACGTTACCTACCTTCCTATCCGGGTGGGGGCGGACCTCCCATCATATTAAACAGAAAGTACTTAGCCAATCAAAGTGCACTCACGGTAAAATAGCGTTAGTAGGAACTTAACCGGTCACTGCAAAATATCCATTAAGGGATGAGTGAAAATGCAGTGGCCATTGTTATACGTAGATATATCAATTTATATCTGGACGGTCGTATGTTTCATGTGATTTTTGCCATCATAGTTAGAGAGACTATGTGGGAAAAATAGTCCATTGGGGAGTAAAGTAGCATACAACCACTTATTAGTTACTTATTATCACTTAAATAAATTCACATTCATTTCCGGATACAAGTTCTGTTAACTACAAGTACATTCCAATAACATAAGCCTTAAAAATAATTCCCTACACTGCTAGACTGACCCCGCCTAGTGGTCAGCGGGCCATCTGGAGCCCTACTGAACCCACGTGTTTCTATATTTCATAATTCCCACCTTGTTGTCCTCCAATGTAGTCCTCACTTTACTACTTTGGAGATACTTTGCTGTCTCGGTTAGGATTTTCTTCTCCATTTTTTCTTATTAATTAATATAATTGGTCTCCTTATAGCGACCGGAACTTATTGTTTGTTGTCAAATGTCAAGATGGACAAAGTTAAACTAATACTACGAGCAAAAGCGAGAGACAAATTTCTATTAAGTAGGTAAATCTAACTAAGATGATCGAAAATCAAATTAATAATTACAAGGAAGTAAAATACATTTCATGACACTTTATTTGGTTCCTTTTTTATGAAAATATTATATTTTGTTAGCCTTGTTCGTAAACTATTTTAACATTAATCTTCTTCGTGTCAAATCTGTTTTTTAAGAAGTAAGAGTACACCGTGGTCTATGGTTGCTGTTACTATTATATAAACGAATTCGGTTTTTGTTCTCTCTTCCCCATCAGAGTTTTAGTAAATGCATGGGAATAAATGGTTTGGTGATAATCCTGAAGAAAAACCATTATTATGCAGCGGCATTTATATGGTGATATAACGTAAATAAAAGATGAAAACATATGTTTTGTATATATTTTGATATATGTTATATATGACCAGTCAAATAATGAAGCGAATTGTTTGAGTTTAATCAGCGAAAGAAGTAAAATGTTTGTTCACGAAAAGGTTTCAAGGGAAAGTGTGCCATAACAGCCTCTCTCCTGATCTTGTATGAAACATCAAGAATCCAATAATCACGTAAAAAACTTAAGTAATTTTAAAAGGTATTTTCTTGTATATTAATTTTATATTAACTAATTATACTAATATATATCCAAAAAGATATCAAAGTTTTTAGAAAATATGATGATTAAAGATATAAAGAGGGTACAATAAAGAAAGTATTGGTAGGCTTGTAATGCACAGTAAGAGTGAAGGTAAACAGGGACGAGGTTGGACTACTATGTGAGTTAAGGTCACTTACGAGGGATAACACACTTTATCCCCTCACCGTACACGTGTCATTGGGTTTTTTATAGTGTGAACGTTTTCTTGCATCCTCCTGTTCAGAATATAAGTATTTTTATGTTGCCTTATGCGTGAGAACAGCTGCCTAAGAGAGTGGAAAGTAACAGTCGACCTAATTAGTGTTTTTACGGTACTGTATGTGTATAAGATTATTAATTACTTATGGTTACCATGTTTGAACATTAAAAAAAGAGGACACTCCGTCGAGAAGGGGAGTGGGATATTTGTAACAGTATCTACTAACTCACGTTTTATTAATGTTATATAATGTGTTATATATACTATAGTATGCAAGTAAATCACTGTAGGTGCACGTGATCTATAGTATAAGTATTCTCTTATCTGCTGCATGGTTTTAAAAAAAATAAAATGTAAATTTTGCTGCTGCGCCTTTCCCCGGGCTTGCGGCAGTTTCATTTTCAGCATGGTAGTGTGAAGGTTGTCGCCGGTCTTATATGGACGTAATTTGCGAATTTAGGGAACAAGTTACCAAACGTCATCATTAACTCGATTATGCTGGATAGCTTCAAACATAGATTGGAGGGATATATGAGTGATAGGGGTTGGGTGTAAGAGGGACTGCCCAGTATGGGCCAATACACCCGCTGCAGTTTCCTCTAATCTTATGTTCTTATGTTCAAAGACCACAGCATTGTTCCTTTAAATAGAGACTGTCCACATTGCGGGAATCCCTGTGCTTTCAGACCGGAAAGACATTTATTCATCACTTCCTCAACGCCGTGGCTCGACGTTTCCCGCCATCACAATAAATCACTCCGCCGCCCAGGCTGCATAAGCGCTGTTGCGTCCACGTGATCTCACGTCCAGAAAAAGCCTCAAATTACACCATATCTTTGTAAGTTCTTTCTGTTTAATATACAGGGAGGCTCGGTAAGGAAGTTAGGTAAGTTTGGTTAGGTTAGGTTAGGTTGGTTAGGTCTGTTTTTCTTTCCCATAAAGGTTAAGTAACATTTATTTTAGAAATAACCATTTTTTTTAACACATTTGCACAAACTACAACAGTGTCCACTATAAAAAACAGGTAAAATCTGGAGTTTTTAAAATCGTTTTATATCAATTTGAGCCGTTGGTAGACATGAACAATTATCTGAAATTTACCCTCATTTCTGGCACAAATCAATAGTGTCTGAGATAAGCCCCCCCCCCCATCTTAGAATCTGGAGATTTGGCTCTGCAGAAAGGATGCTTGCTCACTTGAGACGAGCTGCATCAGTCAGCGTTGATTGACTGGTTCTTGATTTTTCTTTGTAGTGGACAAAATTTCAAGGGACCAAAGTGTCAGCGTGCGGGACACAGGTTCCTGAGAGTTATCAAATGTTGTTATGGGGAATATTATTTCATTCATTCTAGTAATGATAGAATGTTTCTTATTATGTTATTGTAGGTGAATTTATGGTTTATATAATTTGTTTATTACTGTGCCCATCACCATTTTCAAATTAGACTACCAGATGTGTATTTCTCCTATACGTACTGTATTTCGATCATACGTCTGGCAACGGGATCCTGGGAGCTACTGAGTGAGCGCTAGTTACAGCGTCGTCGGCATTTGGAACTCTCCTCCCTTTCTGCCATATTTCACTGGATTTACTGTGTTATTATTAGTGTTTACTGATATAATAGTGCTTAATAGTGATTAATCATGGCATTGTAGCCAGGTTAAACTCGTCACTGTAACCACCAGGCTACTGGGCCAAGCTGTGGTGATATGGCTGTTTTCAAGCTCATATTTTGGGGTAAATATAAAGAACTTTCTTCAGTTATTTTTTACTAAGTTACATGCACACACTATCCTACATACACATTGTGAAAATAGGTAAAAGAAATACGTATTTTCCTAAGGGCAAACACTTAACAGGAGGAGAGTGCAGAGTGTAGGGGTTGGGGGAGCCTTACTAGGGAATCGGCATCCCAGCTGATCTTCGTTACTATGGTGAAACAGGGAGTGTATGCAAATGGTGACTATGTTAAACTTTCATTTGGCTGTTATTTATTGTACTGATTTGTCAATACTGTGCAGTATTTTTTGTTGAAATGATTTTTATTTATTCCTCACATTTCCTGGTACTGCCGTTAAATACAGTATACTGTATTTTTGGTTTTACTGTATTAATACCAGACGTCTGTATAAATGATGTGTGTGTGTATATGGCATCACATTGAGGGAGGGAGGGTTAGAGGTTGAGGGAGTGAGGGCTCCTCAGTAATCAGACGACTCATTTTACACCCACCCACACATGCACACATCCATGTTCTTTATTTTTTCTTATTTTATAGTTTTATATTATATTATCTTTATTTCTAAGCCACATTAGAGTATTTTAATGACTTTTCTACAACTTTTATAACATTAAGGCTCCAGACATGGTTGCAAAACGTGGCACAGTGTGTGTCTACTGCGCTGAAGGTGACATCACAGGACACGACTGGAGTGGCGAGTCAGCCACTCAACACATTTTCACTTTCCACACAAACACCCTTGCTCTTCATATGTCTTATTTTATAGTTTTATATTATATTTTATAGTCTTTTATTATATTATCTTTATTTCTAACCCACATTAGAGTATTGTAATGATTTTTCCACAACTTTTATAGCATTACTGTTGACTTTTAGTTGTTGTGGAACATATGCTAATTTTCCCCATAAGATTAGCAAAAAAAGCAAAGAAAATTTTGTATATTATAGGCCTACTGATACCGTCCTGAACCATCGGAGCTGCCTGACAATTGGATCCTGAATTAGCGGTGTCCAACCTGTATAATCTGGTGACCATTATATATAAACACTACCAGTGATTGCTACATTGAATCATTAGTCTGACAACATGAACCAACCTAAACTACCTCTCCTAACACTCATAAAAGACATTACATCATTGTTAGGTTAAGGTAGTAGGGATCTGTTAATGTGGCATCCAAGGTTTAGGACTTCACTGATGACCTTTCTGCTACCTTGATGTTTGGACCTTGGTCTCCAATATCCTTGTTCATAACTTAACTTTAACTAGATGTAACCTAACTGACCTAATCTATATAATTTTGAGTCTCGCCCACAATAAAATTCTTTTTACAAAGATTATTTTTGCTATGGAAACACAGGTCAGAATATTTAACTTTACAATACTTGTGAGAAGGTTCTCTTAGCCTTCAATTTTGCTTCAGTACTTGTTCAGGTTTTCAGCTTTTCACTTCACTTTGTGTGCTCTTATACTGTATTGTCCAATTTGTTTATAATAACAGTTGTAGAAGGAATCTTAATTTGTTTTTGTTTTCATTTGCAGGAACTTTTGTACAATTGGCAGATGGGTTAGTAGAGTTAGCCATCAGCCAGCTCGACAAAAGTTTCAGCGAACCATGGCGAGTGCTGGGGAGGGTGCCTCAAGTGCCAGCAGTGATGAACAAAACCGATTGGCCTCAGAAAAATCTCCCTATCTTTTACAACATGCAAGTAATCCTGTACACTGGTAAGAAAAGCACGAAATTGAGTCATTTACTATTAGCCTCATAGAATCCTTAAGAAATACGTTCAGTGCTTTCTTCCCAAAGCCCACCCAAAATTGTAATATTGCACAAAAGATGCAAAAAAAAATCACCATAATGAAAGCATCCTATTCCACACACACACACACACACACACACTCTCAGCCAACATGTACAGTGCATTATTGTACAGAGGGCCCCCCAAGTTTGCGGATTTTTACTTCGCAGTTTTCGGTTATTCGTGGATGACACTTTGGATGTACCCAAGAATGTCTGTGGGTAGTTTTAAAGTTGCCGGCTTTTTCGCGGCGGGGACAGGGAGCCATTTGTTCTAGAGACGGTAATTTCCTTTAGCTGTATTATAAATATATGTGTGTGTGTAGACTCACATACATACAAAACACGTACAGATAAATAATAATTGGAAAATCCTCTCAAATAATCAGAAACAAATTTATTAAAAATGTGACAGTCTACCCTCAAGTCCGTGCTCTATTTATAAAGTACTGTAATATAGAATGGACTTGAGGGTAGACTCACATTTTTAATAAATTTGTTTCTGATTATTTGAGAGAGTATTTTCCAATTATTATTTATCTATATGTGTTTAGTGTGTGTGTGTTTGTGTGTCTACACACACACATATTTAATACTACAGGTAAAAGAAATAATTGTCATAAGGGCAAACACATAAACGGAATATACATTTCTTTGTACACAAGTAAAAATGTAACCCCTCACCCCCCGTCAGCAAATGTTATTCGCGGATTTGGCGATTCGCAGCCATTTTGAGAACCTTAACCCCCCCGAATTTGGGGGGCCTTGCAAAGTCTTCCAAACACTACATACAGTATGCTTTGACATACTGTGTATGTACAGTATAGTATTTCCACAAACTGTTATCAGATATTTGTATTTCTGAGGCTGTTGTTAAAGGAAGTCTTCTCCATGTTTATTGTGTAATATATCACCTACAGCCTGATAACATTTTATATATATTTGTCACATGAAATATAAAAGTGGGGTTGCTTCAGGTATCCGTGGGGAGACGAGGCGTTCAGTGCAGCACGACGGGAGAATAAACTCATCTTCCTGAGCGTTGGCTACTCCACCTGTCATTGGTGTCATGTCATGGAGAGGGAAAGTTTTGAGAATCCTGATATAGCAAAGATAATGAATGCAAACTTTATCAATGTTAAAGTTGACCGAGAAGAAAGGCCAGATGTAGACAAAGTGTACATGACTTTTGTTACGGTAAGTCGTCTTAGTTTTTGCAAATTATTGATGATTGTATTAAAGTGAGTGTATTTTAATAATAAATATTTTTGTGTGTTCAATATTTTCTGGTAAGTTTTGTTTTTAATTTCACTTCAAAGGTTAGTGTGAAAGGGCTGTTGCAGGGTGTACATTCTTATTTTAATCTTCAATTTAAATGTTCAGATGAGCACTTATAGTACAGGCATTCCCTGTTTAATGAATAGGTACTGTTCCTGAAAAACCTTTCATAAATCAGTTTTTCATAAACTGGATCACATTTTCTCATAGACTTCCATAATAAAAGCTGAGATACATTCCTGGAAAAATATCTCCAAAATGTCTTAGAATTATACAAAATACAGTACTGTGTGTTTTTTAATGGAAACTTTTGGTGTATACAATGAGTATAAAACAATGGTTAACATATTAGTGAAATACGTGCAGTGAAAGGTAATGGAAGTTTCTGAGAAACTGCGCCACTGGTTGTGCTGCAGTGTGAGGCCCAGCTATGACATGTGGTTTAAATTTGGTAGTGACGCACCAACACTAAGACAACCACACCTTATTAAGATATATTTTGAAATATTTTGTTTCCACAGGATTTTATTTTTTATAAAGTTTTATCTAAAGTAGAAAGGCTAAAGAATACATTTATCATTTAATTCTTTCCAGTGACATCAGATGAAACTCTGCAACACTAATCACATCAATGTTGCCACAGTGGAAATATTTTGAGTCAGTTTCTTGACACTGCTTTACATAACCATGTGATCCATGATAACTAAAACACTACATATAACTTATTTTTAGCTTATTTAAGCACTCTTAATACAGTACAGTATTGTATGTGGTTTTTAGTTTAATTATCTTTGTAACCTGACCAGGTCCAGTGTGGAAAGCCCTGCGGTGCTTGTGTCAACACCACAGTACAGTATTTTCCAAAGCTGCAGTAAAATTATGAAAAGCCGAGAAAAATCTTAACTTTGGATTTTTCTTACGTAAATTGAAATGTGGGATTTTTTTTTTATTAACTTCAGATTTTCGTAAATCAAATGTTCTTTAATCAGGGACTGCTTGGACAATGACTGCTCAAATATAAAATTTTTAACCGAACAATGTTGAGTAATCATGTTGTGATCTAGGAAGGCTTTGTTGCTTTTGTCATTGGTGAATGACTCCAGTATTCATAGTCAATGTACTGTACTGGTGAAATTCAATCCAACAGCCCCCAGTTGCAGCACACACCATTCTTTATTGGACAATCTTAATTTCATCCAGGTTTCCTCTAGTTGAAGCTTGTCAGTGCTGTATTCATTTCTTTCATTCCTCTCATTTCTCATTTATTATATTCCTTTCTTTCTCTTTTTTTATTTTTCCACAGTTTATTGCACAACTGAATAACTAAATACATTTGTATCTGTGTTACCGATGTTGCACCAGCGAGACAAAACTACCTTAACTATAGATCTCCTTTTTAGTTGTTTTGCCTCTTGGATGGTCAAAAGGAAAACTACCTGGAACACTTCTTGCTTTTCACAAACTAAAAGAAAAAATTTATCTTTTCATCTTTTTCCCAGATGTTGCAGTAGTGTTAAATAAATTTCTATGATTGTAATAAAAGCTTCATATACAGGTATACTAATTATAAATGTATTTTAAGTATATATTGTGTAATTAAGTTTTTATCACTAATTTGCCCAGGCGTCCAGTGGGCGTGGAGGCTGGCCCATGAGTGTTTTCCTAACTCCTGACTTAGTCCCTGTTGCTGGTGGCACTTATTTTCCACCCGAGGATCGATATGGTCGGATTGGTTTTGGAACGTTGCTGAATAATTTAGCAACAAAGGTATGGCTCTGGTCATATGATGGTAATAACAGCAGAGATTGAGGACAGAAAATTTTTTGGAGATATTTTTAGTACCTCATACAGTTTGAATTAAATTGAAATCATCTTTGAATTTAACATTTGGTGTTTAATTAATAATTCTCACGGTTTACTGTGAGGCTTCTCAAAAAAATTTTCTTGTCATAATGCACAAGTTGGAGATAACATCTGGTATGACTAATGAGGAAGAACACAAATACTTATCATATTTTGTTGTACACTTCTGGTTTCGATTATCTTTTGGGCAGATACAGATGTGTTCTCCTTTGTGTCGAAATTCTACTTACAGTTTTATCTTTAAATATGGTTTAGCAGTTTTGAACAGTTGAAGAACAGTTCTCAGCTCAAAATTGCCAAACAATTCCAGGATGGTATCAGGTGGTAGAGGTTGGGATCATCAGGAGAACATCGGCAGATATTTTAATTTCTTTGCATTAGTGCCATAGATTAGCGAGTTATTGCACGGCATTCATGTTCTAGTCCTTGAGCGGGAGTGGTGGATGGCCCATGAGTGTGTGGCTGACTCCAGACCTGAATCCTGTGTACGGTGGCACATATTTCCCACCCAACAACCGCTACTTCGGACAGCCGGGATTCCCTCAGCTTCTTGTGTCTCTTGCTTCCCAGGTTTGTGCTCGAGCATCAGGGTCAGATAGGTGGCTGGTTAGTTTTGGTTGACATCTTACTTTATAGTTCTTGATGATGTACTGTATTTTGCCTGCAGGGTTTTCACTCTATTATTTTCTTATAGGTAGATGAGACATGTTCTCTGAGATACATTTTGAAACCATTGCAACTTTAGTAATTGAAAGTTTGTGAGTTTGCTACTTGTGTTACAGAGTGAGGTTATGGCAAGATACTCATATGATTGTACAGTGCTCATTAGTGTCCAAGACTTTAATTCCTTCACTACATGGATGCCACTTGTATTATTATTATTATTATTATTATTTGGCTAATGTTTCTGTTGATGTTCTCCTGAAACTATTTATTATTGGCTATGAAGTTGTCAGTGCTCAGTAACTTGACTCTTTATGTATAAATTTCATGAATTAGGTTTAGAAGACGTACCAGAATAAGCTACATTGAAGGCAGACCATACACTTTACAGTTTCCTAACCATGACAAACATACCATTATAGTACTGTACATAGTAGAGGAAAAATGTAGGATCTTACAACAGAAAAGTTCTTTGGTAGATGATGAAATTGGTGAAGTTTATATTATTGAGGTCATTTAGATTGAGGAAATTTGTACAGTAAAGTTTTGTTTGATTTTAAAAAGCTCTAAAACTTGTCATTGAAAATAAGTCCTGCAAAAAAAATCAGAATCTAAGTTCTCTAGGCTAGTAAATTTTTATACAGATACAGTTATGGTGTGTGTCTGATAATAGGAATAAGTTCACTTTTTTCACTATTGATCTAAAAATGTCACATTACTGGATTTAGGTTTCCTAATATAAACTAGCAAGTGTAAACAAACATAATTAGGGTAGGTGAAGCAGACAGAGGAAGGATAAGAGAAACAAAATATGGATAGGTATAGATAAAGGAGAATTAGTGTAATAAAGGCAGTGAAACGACACAGTAAAAAGAATTAGAAAGTTTATATACTGTACGTACTGTGTGTGGTTCACCGGACTGCAATTTTGACTCGGTTAGGTTTGGTTTGAATATTTTTTTGTTAAATTTGGTTTGGTTATATACTGTGTTAGGTTAATGTAAGTTATATTGGTTATATTAGGTTAGTTTGGGTTCGGTTATATTTGGATAGGTTAGGTTAGGTTTAATTGACGTTAACATTATAAAGCTATTACTGCACTTTAACAACGAAGATCTTTAAATATGTAACAATTAGTAATTACACAACAGTAGTTCATCAACAATTAAGAATTACGAGAATTAAAATCTGGCTAGAAATACGGCATTTAATCATCAGTTGAAATAAGCCAAGGCTCATAATAATCTTGATATCCCATTTCCAGTGGCAAGAAAATGAGGCCAAGTTTAAGGAATCGGGCGTCAAAATCATGGAAGTGCTGGACAGAACTTCCCGCTTACCTGCTCCTGGTACCTCAAGTATGCCTGGCGAAGAAGCTGTTGCCAAGTGAGTGAGATGTACCCTGTGGTGATGTGAGATGGACCAATATGAATATTTTCCACATCACTTCTCTTTATATTCTACAAAAACACCTGAATGTGGGGAGTGTGATTGTTCAATGCTCTCTGCTGGTGCATTAATTATCCTTTTGGTTTTTTACACAACTTTCAAGCTGCAGACTTAGTGTACTACTGTCACCAGAATATACAAGGGAGTTGCTGGTAATAATACTGTACTGTATACTAGAACCTATTGATTTTGGAGTCAGTTTAAAGGTTAGGTTACGTTAGGATATCTTATGGTTTATTATATGTCATCTCTGATACTCTCGTTCATCTACAGATTTGTATGTTCCTCTACTCCCATGGACGTCAGTATTCTTGTAACCACTGTTTTTTTTGTAGAATGTATGTTTAAGACTCTTTATGTTGCCTTCATCCCATCCTTCTATCTTTCTCCATTGTTATTCCTTTCTCTCTCTTATGGTCCATCTTTACCAATCTTTTATTTGCAGTTTTCTCAGTGTGGTCATACCTCCTCAACGGACTTAGTTCAGTTTGTCTTATCAACATAACAGTGTATTTTGTATTTGATTAATTTATCATTTTGGTCATTTATCATCTTAGTAACTGTTCAGGGGTCAGTCTGTTCTTTTTTCTTTTGTTATGACCTTCATTTTCCACTCAAGATTCACTTTGTTTCGCTAAGGTGGAGGAAAGATCAATATTTTTATTTTATTTTTTGTTTTCAAGTAGACCATATTGTTCATTCCACATGCTTAAGATTTGCAGTTGTCTGAGGCATAACAAGTGTTCATTAGGTCAATTTGTGTTTTTGGTGTTTGTGCCTTAAGTTTACTATCATTTGACTGTCTTTTGGAGAAGGAAGTTAATGTGGGAAAGCTTATGTCAGGCAGGAACAGTGTTGTCAATTTTAGCTTATACATATCCTCCAGGGTTGTGCTGTAATCTGTGACTCTATGTTTCATTCATTTGTGGAGTATCAGTAGGGAATTATTCTTGTGGCTGCCTCTGTTTATAATCACTCTTAGATTGATATACATTGTTCAAGTTTCTTATTATAGTATAGTAATTTTTATACAGTATGGTCATAGTTATACTATAATGGCGTCTCACGTCTTACACTGTTATGCCACCAAGTGTACTGTATACAAATCATTCGATCATTTTTGATGTTTTGAGGAAATCCTGCTTAAGGCACCTCAGCTTACTTTGCCTGATGATTGAACACCCTAATTCTCACTTAACCTAACTTCCCAAATAGTGTTTGTATGTTAAATAATCATGTATAATACAGAAGGTCCTTGGGTTACGAACTAGTTCCTTTCCTGAGGACTTTCTTAATTCGGAAATGTACGTAAGTTGGAATACGTACCCTATGTGCACTATTATCATAGCCTAAGTCCTTTTATGCATCTCGAATTACTTAATTTAAGATAAAATAAGAATTAATGACAAAATACAGTTAAGGAAAGTAAAAATTAAAGTTTAACAAATTGAAAACTGGGGCTGGCTGATCTTCCACCCCTATCATTAACAATCTTTCCATTTCAATTTACGATCAACGTCTTTGTTTTGCTTTCACAGTTGAGTGCATTGGTGTAGATCCTTTTACAGGTACAAGAATTTTGTGTCCAAGATTGTTTTGATCGCTGACCGACTGAAGCCCAACACTTTACCAATGACTGAGGGTGTTTCACCTTTTTCACAACGTTTAATTCCATTGTAATTGTTTTCCTTCTCTTGGGTGCACTACTATCACTTTCATCAAGTTTGCATTTGGGATCCATAATGAGGTTAGAAAAATAAGAGTTAATGAGCAAAAGACAACAGTTTGCACTTGATCCCCTGCCGCTCCACCTCGCTGCTACGCCACGCAAACTAATTCTCATACATTATTACTATGAACCAGCTGGTACGTACCTATGACGGATTCTTAAAATAATTGACCTTTCGTGGCCTCGTTTGTATCAGCGAGTTTTTTTAAGTCAGATGTTCTTAACTCGGGGACCCCCTGTACAGTAATCTGGTTGTATCTAAATCTTCAGGTGATCCAATAATTTTTGTATGTGCTCCTCTTTTTTTTTTCACTTGCAATTTCTTTTTATCATTTTTTTTTTTTTTTAGATGCTTTGCCCAGCTGTCCAGTTCATATGAGCCACATTATGGAGGCTTCAGTGAGAGTCCCAAGTTTCCTCAGCCATCCAACTTGAACTTCTTGTTTACCTACCACGCTCTACGTCCTCACCGTGATGATGCAAAGGTATATAAGTCTGTAGGAATGGATTGGATGATGATTAGCTCCTCACCTTAAAAGACCTTAAGATTAATAACCCTAATCCTAATCTCACCCAACCTTATAATGAGGTTTTGTAAGTAATGTCATGTAGTTGAAGTTACGGTGCCAGAATTGCATTATGTTAAGCTTCTATGTCTTTATATCTATTTCCAGCGTGGTTTAGAAATGGCGCTTCATACGCTGACCAAAATGGATCGAGGAGGCATTCATGATCACGTGGCTCAAGGTTTTGCCAGGTGATTATAACTTGTGTGTGGTAGCATACTGTATAAGATTAAAGGTGTGTACAGCTGAGGCAAAGTTCAATATTTTCTTATTCTGTGACAAGGAGGATGGTTATGGAGATTCTTTGGAAATCTAGGACTTAATGAAACTTTCCTATCTGCCTTTAATACCTAACTGGGATAATGATGTAAATATAGCAATACATTAGCTGGGGTGCTGAGTTAGTGGGGAGTAACTGGTGTAGTTCCATCTTCTTCTGCATTAACTCACTGCCACTATCTGTTTACTCATCATAGTTTGGTCTGATAATTAAATAATGAGAAACAACCTAACTGAGGCAATGCATTGTCAGTGAGGCAGAGAACACAACAATAAACAGATACCACCAAATCTCTAGATTCACTGCTTAGCTCAGGTAGGGATAGCTTGCCCCTGGCTTCACCTCAGAGTACAGAAAACGAGTCTGTGAGTGCACTCGCTTGGCTGACCACTTAACCAATGATAAGTATGACTAGCCAAACTCCATGAATGGTAATGAAACCTGGATCACTTGGAAATTTGATGGTGGAGAATTGATGCACCACCCGGGGAATTTTTCCATGGCTCACCACTACTCAGCCTGGCTTGTGTTATCACATATCAGACTTATGTTGATTCATATTAGTGGGTGTTAAAGAGGGTGGTGTAGCGTTATTATTAGGCGTGTGTTAATGACTGGTTTGAGTTGATAGTACAGCTGTAGGTCACTTATCTGCCACCCTGGTTGGCTTCACCTTTGGGGCAGATGTGAGAAGGGTGTTGTCCAGTGTGACTGTACCAAACATCACAGGGTTTCTCTAGGTACTGTACTCTGGTCTGTCCTTTACCAATAATGGACTCGTGGAGGTAAAGATAATCATGAGGATCTGGATACACCTGCCTGATGCCTTACTCCTGAATACAGTAATATCTCCTTTAGCTGGAATCCCTCTAACCCAGAACTCTTTGATATCCGGAATTTACATTTTCTTGGAAAATCGTTCCCAAAGCGTAAATTTTCTGAAAATTGAGAGAAAATTTTCCTGATACCCAGAAAATTCCAGATGTGGGGAAGTTTTTCCGGGTTTAAGAGATGAAAATCAGGTGCATTTTCCCGAAATTCCAAGAACATTTTTCCGGTACTGGTAAAATTCCCGGGATGAGGGATATTTTTCCAGCTTTGAGAAAGTCGTCTCGTTACCCGAAAATCTCTCATTCCCGGAAGTGCTCTGCACCAATTGTTCCGGTTAATGGAGATATCACTGTACTTGGTTGAATCAGTTAGAAAAAATATGGGACAGCATAATATAGTAATAATGAAAGGGAAGTAACATTTGTATTATGGTATCAGTGTGTCTTATGTACAGAGTACTCCACATTCTTGGAACTGTTTTGTGCCTTCTGAATAGATGCAATATGTATAGTGAAATAGATGGACTATATCGAGTGGTCTTTAAATAAAATTTGCATACAGTACTCAGGCACTTTTAGTTTATTTTGTAGTTTCTCTTTTAAATGTTTTAATTAATAATTATGTTCAAAAGTTACATATAAAGAATTCTTGAAAGGTATTCAACGGATGAGAGATGGCACGTCCCTCACTTTGAGAAGATGCTTTATGATCAAGCCCAGCTGACCATTTCCTACCTTGATGCTTATGTTGCTACGGGCAATACCAAGTTCTCTGACGTAGTGCGGGACATCCTGACCTATGTGATGAGAGACCTCAGCCATCCAGTAAGTGCCTGTACTCTGTATGCTGCATGAATGTTAGGTTTTAATATTGCCATCGGCACAAGTCCTGATTTAGGACAAAATATTTTATGAATATTCCCAGGTGACATATTAAAGCGTATCTGATATTCCTAATCTAACTTTGTATATTGTATGTCTGTGATATCTGGCATTTTACTTAATTATTTGTATTGAGTTTGTTCTAAAGCACCTTAAAGGCCCAGAGAGATTAGAACACTTGCAATTGCCTAGCTTATACTATAGGTGGGCAATAGGTGGAAATGCCGTTTAATAATCTGCAGTGTTGTGTATTAACTGCCAGATATTTTGACTGTGTGATACAGTATATATCTTCCATTTAAGAGTTGTATACCCAGCGTAAGGTTTGTTTAATTACACTAAGTGACACAAATTAAAGCCAATAATGTATTTTTCCAGAGTGGAGGCTTTTACAGTGCCGAGGATGCTGACTCTCTACCCACTGCTGATGCCAAAGAGAAGCGTGAGGGGGCCTTCTGTGTGTGGACTCGTGAAGAGATTACCCAGTTGTTGTCTGAGCCTGTGAGGGAAGGTCATGAGATGACCCTAGATAAAGTTTTCTGCCATCATTACTCTGTTGTTAAAGGTGGTAATGTGAACCCTTATCAGGTATAGTGTTTGAGCTTTGTACTGGTGAGTGTTTGAAGTACTAAAGAACTCTGTTAACATAAGACAAACAGATGCCAGTTTAATCAAGTAAAAGAAATTTGTTGTGAAGAATGAGAATAATTTCCAGAGGTGAGTGGCAGTAGTCCATTCCACATATAGAATTAAGAGAATACTGTAAATCCACCCTAAAAAGTGTACATTGTTTCTCTGCACTATTATTATTTCTTGTCATTCCACCAGGATCCACATGATGAACTTAAGAACCAGAATGTTCTTATAGAACATGGCACAGTTGAGGAAACTAGCCAAGAATTTGATTTGAGCCAAGAGGAATGTGAGGCAGCACTTGCTAAAGCCAGGGAGATACTGTACAATGCCAGACAAAAGAGGCCGAGACCACACCTGGACGACAAGATGCTTACATCATGGAATGGTAACCGTTTGTTCTGGGGGTTGATTTTCATCTGCTCACATTCTGGTCATCATAGGTCAACTTACCTGAGATTCTCTGAAGTTAATTAGGAGTTTTAAACAGCTTAATGTTTGTACAACAAACAGTAGCACAACTAAGTCATTGGTGGTTGAGAAACAAATGTTTGTCTGTTGATGTATTTGTATTTATACACTCTACATACAGTATATCCATAATAACATATTGCAAATTGTTATTCAAACTTAATACGTAAACTTGTTTCCACATGAATGTACCATGGCCGAGGTGTATGTGGGGGCACATTTACGAGATGTGGCATCACAGCGCCGTAGTCATGGGCATGAAACCGTGGCTAACCCTGTTTGCCTGTTCCCCGTAGTTCAGTCCTCGTCACTCGGTCGTGGCTACACAACAATGCTACATAACACGTATTATAGAGCTCGTTTATCTGTTTACCCCCTTTATTGTTGTTTGTATCTTATTGCAAACTTGGTAATTTCAGTGTTTCATGCCCATCCATTCAGCACTGACTAGGGCGTTGAGTTGCCACATCTCATACCCGAGCTCTCACACACTCCCGGGCTATGGTACGTTCATGTGGATACAACTATACATACAACATCTCGAATTCTGAAAATTATATAATGCCATGAGTAAATAAGAAGAGTCAGGTTCTAAGTATGTTTTAAATAATTACAGTAATACCTGTTATTATATAGACCTCCAATGTTTTCCATAACTATCATAAAAGACAAGTTGTTGAAGATGTATCATGTGGTGACAAGTTATTTTGGTCCAGTGTAAATACTGTACCTGTAGATGTGTTTTGGGTAGTGAGTGTCTGATCTTTCACAGTAGTAATAGGTGGTATAACCATGACAGAGGTACATAAGTGTTTCAGAATTTCCATTGTAGATGCCTTACTCACTTGAGCAGGTCAAAATATCAGCTTTATATTTCTGGCCAGAGAGAAATTACATCTTGGAAGTCAGGCTGGATTCTTTATGGGAAAATGTAGGAATACTGTATATTGAACACACAAGATTGTAACTCCCTTCTGTACAGAAAAGAAAACAAGCAATAGTCATCAGGGTACAGTTTATTGTGATGTGTCTTGGCAGCTTGGGAAAATTACTGAGAACCTATGTGTCCTCCAGCTTGGGTTACAACTAGACCAACAGTTTTAGATTAATGAAACTTCTACTCTAAATAGATATAATTGATGTCTTGGAATAATTCAAATTGTCATCTTATAAAAACCTGATCATTCAAGGAGCCACTGGACTGTACTAGACATCAGCAGAGTTAATATATGTTGACAGATTGAACATAACTTTACTGTGTATGTATTGCTACCTCAGGTATGATGCTGGGAGCCATGGTAAGAGCTGGTGCTGTCTTAGGAGATAACACATACATACAGAGGGCAGTAAAAGCAGCTGAATTTGTCAAGAGCTATCTTTACAAGGATGACAAGTTGCTCAGAGCTGCCTATGCTGCTCCCAATGATGAAGTATCTCTGTAAGTTCTGTTTAGTAGGATGGTGACCTCCTAAGACGTCTTGCATGATCAGAGACATCAGGTTATGTACAGTTTGGGTTGTCAGTAATGAAGGGTTATACTCACACCCCCCGGTTATGGATGGGTTCAGTTCATGGAGGCTCTTCATAAACCGAATTTTTAAAAGCTGGAAGTGACCCTCCTATGACCATAGGTAATCATTGAACACATAATGCACATACAATTACTATGCAAGTATGGGACCATTAATCTGGTATGCTTGGGACCTGGGGGCGGGGGTTGCCGGATAAGGTTTATTCCAGAATTTGGAGCAATAAGCCTAAAATGTACAGTAAACCCTCTAACTGGCAGTGAAAACTGTTCAGATCACTAGATTCTCACCTAAAAGAAGGTTTAACTATACTATAACATTAAAACTTAGAATTGTAGACATATATACATCAATAACAAAGTCATATAAATAGTATTAATGAAAGCATAGAGAGTAAAAATGATACAATTTAGTGTACAAATTGTCACAGTTGCCCCAGGTGTTTACCTTAGCAATGGTGCTCCGCCATGGACCTCCAACCTTCACACAGTTTCATCGTGGAACCCTGTAGATACAGTACTTAAAAGTTTAAACCTTTTGATAATTATTTATTTTCGCACTTCCTGTTTGTAGGATTGTGTGTATATGTAACTGAGTAAAAACCAAATGAAGAAAATTACGTATATCTACCCAAAATTACGAGTTAAAAGTTACAGTTACCATAACATAACATACAGCTCACAGGTGGAGAATGGTTGGAAATATCCCTGCTCAGCTCAGGAATTACTTGGTGTACTTATTTTAAATAGGACACATGGGTGAGTATCCGTTCTATGGGAAATCCATAACCCGGGAGTGTCTGGTGTCAACTTAATGACCAATATGTTACTTTTGCTTTTATTTTATTTATTTATTTATTTATTTTTTCTTCTCTTCTCTTTCCTGTGACACTTGAGCTTTTTCTTATGCCCTTGCTCTTGTATTTTATATATATGTACGTATGCGATGGTTTGTTTTGTGTGAGTCATCTATTTTCTCAACTGTTTTTCATTGTACCACTTGCTCATTTAGGGGAATATAGTAAAGCATGTGTGTGTTTGTGTGTGTGTGTGTGTTGCAGCAGGTCAATCAGAATTTAATTAGTAGGGTCAATTAGAATTTAAATTTTTTTTATCCATACCTTATTTTGATATACATGTATTTGTTTTATTTTGTTTCATTAACCACAATGGTATTTTGAGATTTTTATGTTTGATTATATTTCCAGTGGGTCAAGTATTGAAGGATATGCAGATGATTATGCGTGGATCATTCGTGGTTTCATTAACTTATACGAGGCAACGCTGGACACAGATTGGTTGGAGCTGGCGGAGGCTCTTCAAGACAAACAGAATGAGTTGTTCTGGGACCCTCAAGGAAATGGCTATTATATGACACAAGCTGGAGATGAGTCAATCTTACTTCGAATTAAAGAAGGTATGAGATAAAGCACAAACAACAAAATTTCTGCAGGTAAGGTGTCTGGGCTTGATTAAAGGATTTACATAAAACTCAGTGGCAAGATTGATGGCCCATGTAGACTGTATAGGACAACAATGATTGCTGTGTTAAGTTACCACAGGCATGATTTGACCTTTTCTGGTTGGTAATTAAATGAGTATTGCCTGGGATTTGCATTAAGAAGCCAAGACAGGGATAATAGTTTCAATGATTTATTGGTTAATGCTTATCTAATTCTCTGATGAGCTGAAATGTATGTATAGTAATGAAATTGACTTGACTTACTTCTTAATGTTTCTTTCGATATTGTGTTTGTACTCAAGTTGTTATTATGGTTAACAGATCAGGATGGAGCAGAGCCGTCAGCCAATTCAGTCTCTCTAGGTAACCTGATACGTCTAAGTACCATCCTGGATCATCCGGAGTATCGTACCAAGGCAGAGGCCATTTTCTGTTTGTTTTCTGACCGCCTTAATAAGATCCCCATTGCTCTTCCCGAGATGACAACTGCTCTCCTGCTTTACCAGCAGTCTCCTGTACAGGTTAGTTTATCTTTATATGACGTATTAGTGAAGCTTTAGATAATCCAAAGGATGTTTGGTGGTGTATGTCTCGAAAATGTTGTTGTGGTATTCCCTTTGATGGTGTATAATGTGTAACAACAACGTGTGGTGTAGAGGGCAGCTCACACTCCTTTAAGGGTTTTATTCCTGTGTGAGATTGAACCATGAATAAGTTCTTTCTTATCATTTATATCTGTGTATACATTGGCAATTGAAGACCAGGATGCAAGTCAATTGGTAGACCATGATTCTAAGGAAAATAGTTGGCCAGTACAACATGGGTTGATGCTGCTTACAAACACAGCTTTGTTATCTGTGCTGTTGTGTGGACCAATTCCCCACAAGACTAGGGAGACATTGATCTAGCACTGGATTGCTAATGCATGGAGCAAAACAATTTTGCATTTTATGTTTATAGTTGAGTCTTATAAGTGGGTATAATGTTTCCTATCCTGACTCACCTGGTCATTTATTGGTGCAATGTCTCTTTGATATCCACTGCTTATGATTTCTTCCGGTAATCTATGGCCCATTGTCTTTTTCAGATTATCCTGGCAGGAAAGAATGGTAGCAATTCTTTGAAGGAGATGATGCATGTAATCCACACAGAGCCAATCCCAGATCGTGTTTTCATGCTGGCAGACGACAATCAAGAGTCATTTATGTATGCCCGCCACCCATCCCTCAGCCGATACCACCCAAAGGTGACAGATGAAACTCTGGCATATGTGTGCAGGAACTTTAAGTGCCTGTTACCTGTCAACAACCCGGATCAGCTGAGAGAAATACTGAAGAAGAGCTCTGAAGCGAGCGGTCAGTAAGGCAGTGTTTGGTGTCAGAATTATATCTCATCGTTATGGTATACGTACAGTATATCTTTACATGTAAAGTATGGAGAGTTGCCATCAGGTGAACCTAGTTAACCCACACAAATATAGAAAATGGGCTATTAGATGATGCTGATGGTTTAATCTATTAAACAGTAGTCCAGCCTGAGCTTACACCCCAACCCTAACTTCCTGTCCTTGGAATGTTGTTCAGTTATTTTCCCTCACTGTGTATGCAAGTAGTTCTTAAGTCTCATGTTGTGTACAGTGTATATACAGTACAAGGTAAGTACCACACCCTTCAGTAATTGGTTCCTCCACTGGAGTCATTTTGATGGGTGTAGAAAATGAAGTACACTTACACTGTACTGTATATTATTTATTGTCATTTTTAATATAATATCTATTTAATGGTGATTATATAAATTTAAAATTACTTTTGCCTTTATTTGAAAATCATATATTTGTTAAAGGTCATAATAAGTGTGTGTTTGGGTTGAATTTCACCTTTGGGGGTTTCCAAGTTAGAAGTATACTAGACATAGCCAGTAATTCTCAGTCGTGCTGAAACACACTATAGTCTAAGTGCAGTCTTGTCGTTTATAATACCATGACATGTTTTTTCTTTACCAGTAGCTATAGGATTTACACCATTGAAACAATGACTTGGGTGAGGTAAATCTTCTGGTGTTTATCAGAGATTTTATGTACAGTAGTTCTTTCATCTTGAGCAGCTGTATCATTGTGAGCCTTATATCAACACTCCCACACTTCTCTAATAAAACAGTTCAGTCAGTGTCCAGAGTGAAACACTCACAATATGCATTAATATTTCAAGTGTCACAGTATAAGCACTATAAAATTGCTTGATAAATTGTCATTAATATATACTAGAGGCATGATTATCAGGTGCCCCATGATGTGAAAGGAGGATGACCTTGACTTAGTTGGTAACAATATGGTTCCTGATTCTCAAAGGTTCTTAAGCCTATTTTGCCACAACTGTAAGTGTCCGAATATCCAGTCTATCTAACTGGTCCACTAAACAACATCACACAGTCTAAAATACTCTTAAAATTGATGGAAGTCTTAAGTAAATAGACTTCATGTATCAAGGTACAGGTATCCCCAAATATTATAAAAAATAACAAACCATTCTTTGAAGATTTACTCAATGGTCTTTTGATGCAAGTTGTACCAGTTGGGTCATTGGTCTGGGAGGGTTGGAGGGGCATTACCACCTGTGTTTCACATCACTGTCATGTCTAGGCAAAGTTAACAGTTCTTAATGAGAGTTGTTAACCACCAAACATGAGGAAGATGGTGAAGTTTTAGCCAGCATGATACAGTGGAGTTATTGTGTTACTGTGATGACCCTTTACATATATTAATGGTAGTTATAGTTTGTGGCATCATCTGATTAATAATTAAGACTCAACATCTCAAGACAGTCCTGTATGGCACATGTCACGAGATATCTTCTTCATATTTCCCCACAGACATTTGGTTAAGGTGTAGAAAAATAAAACAGGCTTTTGAAGTGAAATACTAGTGAATTTTCAGAGAATTGCTTAAACAGGAGACAAAGTAAAGGCTGATGGTGATGAGGACTTGCTAAGGTACTTGTTCTGTCTCCACTTGGGTATTGTTGTTCTCTGCGTAAAAAATACCTGAGATTAAAAATGTTACGTCAAATAGTCATCCTATGTTATTTTGTATATTTAAAGCAAGTAACAAAAATGTCTAGGCACTATTCAAAAGTTAATTGTTGTAGACTCAGTTTACCTTACATCTATTTGCATTGGGGTTAGGTTCCTGAGAACCCAGTCACTGGTCAAAATAGTGTAAATCAAGTTCATTATAACATGGTGGTTCAACGGGATAGGTTCCTGGTCAGTCAAACACCCATATGTATAACAGTAAAAAAAATCCTAAAATATTACTTGCACTTACAACACAATTAAAAAACATTCATCACATCATTAAGAACAAGCTTGGGCATCATTACATGTCCTCTTCGAGGCTAAGGGGACTCATGAAGGTGGAGTGGAGATGTCACTCTGACTGTCACACAGCCTTTGGGGTGTCTCATATTGCTTCACCTTCATAGACACGGTTTTCCTGAGTGCCTTGGCCATTCCAGACATTTTCAAAGTTACACTGCTTACTTCACAGTCATTAAAGCAGAGAAAAGCACTTCACAGTCACAGCAAAAGCACTTCACAGTCACTAAAACAGAGAAAAGAACTTCACAGTACATGTATCGTACCTATATAGTACAATTCACTGTGAAACTTTGTAATTCCCTGTATTGTGTGGGGCCACACAACTCTTAGTCATGAGATAGTCCAGGAGCTTATAGTTAAAAATACAGGGGGTCCCTGGGTTACGAACGGGTTCCATCCCTGAGGACGTTCTTAAGTTGGATTTACACCTAAGTCGGAAAACATGCTATGTGCATCCCGTACTTACCGAACAATGTTTAAAATCTCACTGTATCATACCTTAAGTCCTTATATAGATCTAAAGTCACTTAACTTAAGACAAAAGAAGAAATATAATGACAAAATACAGTAAATGAAAGTAAAAATAAAGTCATCATGTAAATAAAATACTGTAAATTTCAAGTTTAACCCTGTTTGTATCGACGGGCGTTCATAAGTTGAGAACCTCCTGTACTCAAGTGCGTTTTATGTAACCAGTGGTTCCTGCTATCACAGTGTAATGAATAGTGTAACACATGAATGATGTAATAACTTCTAAATTCAGAAAATTTCGGGCATAAATTTTGTTGTGTTAGAATTGTATGTAAACTATAATTTATCTATAATTATCATTTAGGACTGACATTTTTTTCTTGTAATTGTTTAAAATTGTTAACCGTACTGCACGTTAATAGATTATGATATTTATTTATGGTTACCAATTTATCTACATACAGTACATTTTTTATATATATTGAACATGGAGTTATAAATAGTGAATGGAATAGGTGAAGAAATGGTAAGTGCAGTGGACGTAATGGAAAAAATTATTATGATGCTCACTGACCATATTTTACTTACCGTAGTTACATCGTCTCACTGTTATTCCCCACTACTGTATATATATATATTTATAACAAGTGCAGAGTAGTTTATGCTGCACCTGTAGTCATAGTTGTTATTGGTATTAAGAAATGTTAACCATTGTAACAGTTATTTATCGGCCATATCTCATTAATCCATTTCTTATTTTAGATGTGGAACCATTATGCACTTCAGGTGAGCTGTGTTGTCTTCACTCTAAACCTTGTTGATACCTTCCTAGGATATTCTCTTTCTCACCTGTTTTTCTTCTCTGTTTATGCAAGAAGTTTCAGGTAAATTGCTGTACAGTATATGTTTGCCTCAGTATGAAGGAGAGTGAAGTACCAAGGTAAAAAAAAGTGTAGTACGAAGGAATGGCCACTCCAACCATCCAGTCCTTCGGTACGACAAATATCATGTCTACCTAATTGCTGACGTTATTATCATAATCTCAGCTTTATCATTAAGACGACAGATCTTTTATTTTTATACAGTATATATATATATATATGTATACATAGATATATACTCACAGTTCATTTGATTGATACGAATTTCTGCCTCACATTCTAAGGGATTAGTGAAGATGTTGACCAGGATGGTGTGGTTTTAGCTCACCACCCTGGCTTCTACATTGACATTATTGCCAGGCTTAGTTCATTGGCTTTTAACTAGAGGAATGTTTATATCAACTCAGTGTTTATTTTAATTAAACCCTAATTTAAATTATAAAAATTCCTCCTCCATGACCTTACCGGTGATTACCGTAAGATACTGCACTTTAAGTCTGTTTAATTTCCTTTTAAAACAAAATTTCACATAATCTTAGTTGCTAATTTAGGATCCATGAGTTGTGGTTACATGTAATTTTTGTGTGAGGGTGAATGTTGCTGATGATTTATATAATTGTAATGTATATATTTTAAGGTAAGTTTAGTTTGAATTAATGTAACTATTATTTAATAGGATCACCTGAAGATTAAGCACCCCAGCATATTTCAACAGATGATTAAACACTCTTAATTTAAACCCCTGGGTAGCAAGATGAACCATACTCAAGTCCCTAATCTTCAGGGGAACCATTTAATGTTATTTTCTTTGTATAGTTAATGATTATAACAGAATTAGTGTGTTGTGTCATTTGAAAATATGATTCTCTTACATCTACCTAAACATTGAGAGCATTATGATTTACTGTTGTATAATTCTTATCATATCATAGTTTTCTTTATTACCAATAACCTCTGGATATTGTATTATAACCCAGGATAGAATATAAGAATAAATTATGGAGGCTCTGATGGATTATGGGTATATTAAACTGTATTGTATTTGGAGAATAGATGATGATGTATGGTTGACTTTATGTCTTGAAACTGTCCAAGATTATGCAAGTTGTTTTTCATTACCAAAATTGTTTATTAGGTTTATACACAAAATTTGTTAGAAATGTTGTATGGTGATAAAATTGTTACATAGAAAACTCCATATTTATGAATGTTTTCCTGTTTTATTTTTGTTACCACTAGAATAAGGTGACCAGATTTCCTGGAGCTAAAAGTGGGACATCTCATGAATAATAATAATAAACATATTTAACAACATAAGTGGTACATCTCTTGGGCAATATTAAGAAAAGTACTATTGATATGTGACTTACAACTTGGGTCTTAGGATGGCTTACCAAAGTACAAAAATATCATGCTTATGTTTCAATATCTTGTACTTTTCACTAGATGAGATCTTCTTTAGTAACTCTGTAATGGATTTCAGCATATTATTACATCTTTACAACAAGCTTGTAACCAGTGTTACAGACTCTCTGTATTCTAACGCCTGTATTATTAAACAACATCTTCCCTTGAAGAGGGTCGTTGTGTTTCAACTCAAGTTTTAAACTAAATGAGTCCTGAGGGACACCGCAGTACAGTACTTAACGGGGTGGTGTGGCAGTAAAATTAACTAATTCCAATATTATAAATTAATTTATAATACAGTGGTCCCTCAGTTAACGATTCGAATAATGAAATTTCGGTTAACGAATTAGCTCCCATAAGGATTTTCAGTTCGATTAACGAAATCCTTACGACAAACACGTTTTGTTGTGCGCATCAGCTGATCGGCTAGTCTGCCAATACAGTAATTGGTTCTATGTTTACATTCGTTTACAGTGAAGTAAATATCAAGAATGATGGTCTCTTGAATATTTCTGCATTTTTTATATTAAAATTATTGGTCATTCTGAAATTTAGTTAACATATTGATAATATAGACAGTACAGGGAACAGTTGTTGTGCGCCCATCAGCTGATTGAATCACCCAACAACGCTTCTCAGTTTAACTTTGTTTACAGTGGAGTGAAAATCGATTTTGTTGGTCTCTTGAATATTTTTGCATTTTTTACATTAAAATTATTGGTCATTCTGAAATTTAGTTAACATATTGATAATATACAGTGCAGAAATGATCATGAAATGTGAAGAAGGCATTAGAACCAATGCACTCTGTAAAGAATATGGCATGTCATCATCAACTGCCTCTACAATCAGCTGTTTGATATGTAAACATAGCTGCTGGTAATATGACATACACACCTCAAAGTAAGTTAAAATACAGTATTCTATTGTTTTTATGTATTATTGTACAGTATACTGTACAGTACAGTACTGTATTTAGTTTATATTTAATGCTTTGTTAATTTTATGACTGGTATACAGTATTTTGTATGTACTTTTTCTGTGAGTTGGAACCAATTACCCAATATCCCATTGAAATAATAGATTCGGTTAACGAACAACTGTGGAACGAATTGTGTTCGTTAACCGAGGGACCTCTGTATTGGAATTAGTTAATTTTACCGCCACACCACCCTGTTAAGTACTGTACTGCGGTGTCCCTCAGGACTCATTTAGTTTAAAACTCGGGTTGAAACACGACGACCCTCTTCAAGGGAAGATGTTGTTTAATAATACGGCCGTGAGTCTTAAAGTGAGCTAAAGCCACTTCAGGCATCCCAGTGACGTCACCACTAGTAGTCTATGTCATTGGTGGAATAGACAACAACACCAAAGATGTCACTACGAGCAGTCTACTCAATTGAAGGTACACAGCAGTGAAATCACCGCTACTAATGCACCATATTGGTGTTATAGACCACAAGAGCAATGATGTCATCACCAGTTGTCTACCTCATTGGTGGGACTCAGGTCCTTTACTCCTATGCATCACAGTGAGTCCTTCCCTCACTCCTATGCATCACAGTGAGTCCTTCCCTCATTCCTACACATCACAGTGAGTCCTTCCCTCATTCCTACACATCACAGTGAGTCCTTCCGTCACTCCTATGCATCACACCGAGTCCTTCCCTCATTCCTACACTTCACAGTGAGTCCTTCCCTCACTCCTATGCATCACACCGAGTCCTTCCCTCACTCCTACACATCACAGTGAGTCATTCCCTCATTCCTACACTTCACAGTGAGTCCTTCCCTCATTCCTACACATCACAGTGAGTCCTTCCCTCACTCCCTCACTCCTACACATCACAGTGAGTCCTTCCCTCACTCCTACACATCACAGTGAGTCCTTCCCTCATTCCTACACTTCACAGTGAGTCCTTTCCTCACTCCTTCATATTAGTGAAACCTTCCCTCACTCCTACATATCACAGGGAGTCCTTCCATCACTACCTACACATCACTATGACACATTCCCTCACTCCTACACTTCACAGTGAGCCCTTCCCTCACTCCTACACATTACAGTGAGTCCTTCCGTCACTCCTTCACAACACAGTGAGTCCTTCCCTCACTCCTTCACAACACAGTGAGTCCTTCCCTCACTGCTACACAACACAGGGAGTCCTTCCCTCACTCTTATACAACACAGTGAGTCCCTCCCTCACTCTTATACAACACAGTGAGTCCTTCCCTCACTCTTATACAACACAGTGAGTCCTTCCCTCACTCTTACACAACACAGTGAGTCCTTCCCTCGCTCTTATACAACACAGTGAGTTCTTCCCTCGCTCTTACACAACACAGTGAGTCCTTCCCTCACTCTTATACAACACAGTGAGTCCTTCCCTCACTCTTATACAACACAGTGAGTCCTTCCCTCAATCTTATACAACACAGTGAGTCCTTCCCTCACTTTACACAACACAGTGAGTCCTTCCCTCACTCTTATACAACACAGTGAGTCCTTCCTCACTTATACAACACAGTGAGTGAGTCCTTCCCTCACTCTTATACAACACAGTGAGTCCTTCCCTCACTCTTATACAACACAGTGAGTCCTTCCCTCACTCCTACACAACACAGTGAGTCCTTCCCTCACTCTTACACAACACAGTGAGTCCCTCCCTCACTCTTACACAACACAGTGAGTCCCTCCCTCACTCTTACACAACACAGTGAGTCCTTCCCTCACTCCTGCACAACACAGTGAGTCCTTCCCTCACTCCTACACAACAAAGTGAGTCCTTCCCTCCCTCCTACACAACAAAGTGAGTCCTTCCCTCCCTCCTACACATTACAGTGAGTCCTTCCCTCCCTCCTATACATTACAGTGAGTCCTTCCCTCCCTCCTATACATTCCTTCCTCCCTCCCTACACATTACAGTGAGTCCTTCCTCCCTCCTACCATTACAGTGAGTCCTTCCCTCCTCCTACACATTACAGTGAGTCCTTCCTCCTCTAAGTGAGTCCTTCCCTCCCTCCTACACATTACAGTGAGTCCTTCCCTCCGTCCTACACATTACAGTGAGTCCTTCCCTCCCTCCTACACATTACAGTGAGTCCTTCCCTCACTCCTACATAATACAGTGAGACTTTTCCTCACTCCTACACATCACAGTGAGTCTTTCCCTCCCTCCTACACCTCAGTGAGTCTTTCCCTCCCTCCTACACATCCCAGTGAGTCTTTCCCTCCCTCCTACACATCACAGTGAGTCTTTCCCTCCCTCCTACACATCACAGTGAGTCTTTCCCTCCCTCCTACACATCACAGTGAGTCTTTCCCTCACTCCTACACATCGCAATGTGTCGTTCCCTCACTCCTACACATCGCAATGCGTCGTTCCCTCTCCTACACATCACAGTGAGTCTTTCCCTCCCTCCTACACATCACAGTGAGTCTTTCCCTCACCCTACACACATCGCAATGTGTCGTTCCCTCACTCCTACACATCGCAATGCGTCGTTCCCATCACAATGCGTTGTTCCCTCACTCCTACATATCACAATGCGTCGTTCCCTCACTCCAATTTCATGTGATGTGTCAGGGAACACCAGTGTTAGTACAAGTGGAAGCTGGAGTAAGCTGCTGTGTTCGGTATTTCACACGGAACTACAGCATAAACATAAGTAGAATGAGGTAATTTGTGGTAAGTGGAGGAAGGAACAAGTTATGATAGGAGGTTTAAGATGATTCAGGCTACATTGGTAGTATCTTAGTCAATAAAGTTGTAAATCAATTAGTTCATTAATGGTGTGTCTTAAACTACCGACCATTACATTCACTTTGTTTAATATTTTGTTCCGGCCAAGATGGAAGTAATTAGAGTGTTATACTATCTACACACACACACACACACACAAAGTTCCAAAACTAATCATACAGGTACCAGCTATTTATTACTGATATGACTTTAAAAGTTTATTGATTAGAGCAGGGTCACTAAACTGTGCCCGGGCGATCCCGTTCCTTCCTGGCTCGGTGGTAGCCTACCTCTGACGTTACCAGAGCTTTCGTTCTGGCTTGCAAGTATTGAACAGAATGATTATGCGCGCCGCTTGTCATTCTTTCAGTTATCCGGCCCACTGTGAAAAAAGTTTGGTGACCCCTGGATTAGAGTAAACATCAAGTGAATTTTTTTTTAAAAAGATAAAAGGCTAATTATACTCTGATAGATAAACTGTAGGTTCAAGTGAGAATGAGTACAGTAACACATGCTTAAAGACCTCTACATTGATCTTTGTAATTAGAGTAAGACCGATTATTTGTTTTGTTTTTTATAGTTTGTGTCATGGATTAAGTGAGGTCATTGGGTGCCTCCTCTCACCTCCAGTTGGGGATCACTAAACACAGAGAAGTCCATATTTCTGATATAAACTAAGTCTTTATGGATTCCAGTGTAGATGAAATACGCTGGTGCCTCTTATCATGTCCTTCTGAAGACTTTTGAATAGTGGAAGACGGCAAAGGTGGAGAAGAACACCAGGAGGCTAATTACGATGGAAGACCACGTTATAGCCTTTTTCCGAGCTGCAGGTAAAAGGACGAAGAGACGAAGAAGGAGTCGATGTGTGCCATGGTGCCGTTGTTAGGGTGGCAGGGAGGTGAGGGCGCGACACAACAACCCGTATACGTCCACCTGCTCCAGACTACCAACCTCCACTCCAGATGCGAAATCTATAACACAACAAAACTTAGAGTGATATAGTTTTTTGTTCCAAGGATATTGTATTTAACGGTTGTATTAATGTTTGTTTTTATGTACAATTATTGAGGAATTGATAGTGGTAAGAGAGTCGAAGTTTTGGAAATGGTATACTTATATGCCTTGTAGTTACCTGTTATTTTATATGATTTAATCCTAATCATCATCTTTTAATGTACTAACCTGGTCCTATAGTGTACAGGACGCCCCTCATGTCAGGTCTTTGTTGTGGGTGTTATCGAAGCCGTGATAACCTTTGTACATCTTGTCACTCGCCAAGATCCTGCCCTCCCATTCCACGTTGATAAAATACCCTGGGGGACAACACGGGAGATATTACCACTTAAAAACACCATTCACCTTTATCACCAAGAACTACATATCACTATCACTAGGATCTACACATCACTATCACCAGTATCTACACATCGCTATCACCAGAACTCATAAGGCTATGAAAGAACTCAAGCACCAACATTAACATTAATTATAGGAACAAATATTACAGAGACAATGTTAAAAGGGTCATTTCATCTGTAATCAAAACTTAAGGTCACTATAATGACAAAGTCTGTGTTTGTGTGTGTGTGTGTGTTAGATACCTGGTTCAGCTATGACGGTGACCTGATAGATGAGTCTGTTGGCCTTGTAGTGGTACCTCTCTGGAAGAGTCTCCTTCGTATACACCACTACCTTCTCCCCAACCCCCGGACACCTCCTCACGCTCTCAGCAACCTGCAGTAACAACACACAAGTTTACTGACAACACTTTATTATCACCACTTCCAGCACTTGTCACCACACATATATAGTACATACATACTCTCTCTCTCTGCCATAATAACAATTAGCACTGCTCACCTGTTGTGTACAACCAGGGAAGGGGCGGATGTTAACGTAGCTGCCAGACTCGACCACATACTCCACCTCCTGCTGCTGAAGACACGGCCCCAACTCAACCACCTCAACATCCTTGACTCCCATGTCTGCCATCCCATGATCACTCACCACCACCACGTTCGTCTGTGTAAGATGAATGACTCCTACAATCAGTTCCAAGGGATCCAGATTCTAAAAAGCCCGCCCATTGGATATTCCTGGTTAGTAAATGTGTAAGGCTCCATCACAACAAAATAGTAAGTCCAAAAATAACATCGATATTACAGTCCATACATATGTTTGCCGATGACGCCAAGTTATTTCGGGAAATCAAGAACCAAGCAGACTGTGAAGAGCTGCAGAAGGACCTCTGTGGGCTCCACGAATGGTCGGAATGGCTGCTGAGATTCAATATCACGCAGTGTAAGAGGATGCATCTGGGGCGTACCAACGGTAAGGAGGCGTATCATATGTCCCAATTGGATGAAGAAACTGCACTATTTGAGACCGAATGTGAAAAGGACCTGGTATGTATGTTGACAATGAGCTGAAGTTCTCAGGCCATTGCGAGAAGAAAGTAAATCAGACAAATAAATTATTGGGTCTTATAAGGTCGTTCAGATATCTAGACGGTCTGTCCCTTGTAACGATCTTCAAGAGTGAAGCGCTTCCCGATCTTGAGTACTGTCACCCTGTCTGGTCCCCGAGATATGATAGGGACTATCAGTTGGTTGAAAATGTTCAAAGGAGGGTCACCAGACTGGTGTCTGCACTTCGGCACCTCAGCTCCCTGAGATTGGAGCGCCTGAACTTGCCTACCTTATACTACAGACGAGCAAGGGGTAACCTAATTGAGGTGTATAAGCATCTCAAGGGGCACTACTCAATCGAGTGTCCTTACTTGGAGCTGGCGGACGTTCACCCCACAAGGGGTCACAACTCAAGATTGAAGAAGCCGCAAGTCCAGAAAACTGCGAGGGCAAACCTTTTCGGAGTGAGAGTTATGAACTCTTGGAACAATCTACCAGAAAGTGTTGTGACGGCACCGAGTGTGAGCTCTTTCAAGACAATACTTGACCAACACTGGAGCAGGTTCAGGTACACTCAGGAGCCGGTCGCCCAGTACTTGCCAACAGTGCGTAACAGAGACGTGACGATCGCCCATGCGGCTAACGAGCCGATTAGTGAAGAGGCTAAAAGTAAAAAGTAAGACTCTAGTTTACTATAGCCATTATCACTGAGTACCAGTTAGGAGATAAAAGTAAAGAATGTTTTGAAATTGTTGAAAATAATAAGCAATATGAATAAATGTGTTATATAGTGAGGTTTATAAATTCACTATTTTAATATGCTAACAATAATAAAAATAATGATAAGTTACTGAAATTATTATCATCATCATCATTATTATCATTTTCCAAGGATGGTGAATATATCAAACAAGTTAATGGACATGAGTGGAATGGGACTTACCGTGTCCATGATTCCTCTAGCTTCCAGGTTCCACAGGTTCTGCAGTCCCAGGTCCACCTCCCTGACAGCGGCAGCGACCTGGGGTGACCTGGGGCCATAAGTGTGCCCCAGGGTATCCACCGCCCCCTCGTATACCTGTGGGTAAATTACAGGTATTAATAAGTATGCCTGTGGATGGGCACACTTGTTGTAGGCTAATTAGATCATATTTTCAGGTGTAATAGATGTAAGTTAGTCATTTATAATCATTACTGTACACCTACCATAACTACCATGGTTGGATCCTACTACCATGATTATTTTACCATTTGATATACAGCACCATAACTACCATAACACCTACAATTAAATTTCTACCATGATATACCACAAGTGCCGTGAGTCTTCTACCAAGAAACGTAATCATAACACCTACCATGAACCTTCCACTAAGATTACCGTGATATCTACCATGAACCTTCCACCATGGGACGTACCATGACGAGGTTGTAGCCATCCTGGTGGGTCATGTTGACAGCCTGACGGAGGTGGTGATGGAAGCGGGTTGTGTTGGCCGAAGGATCGTAGTTGAATGGGAGACAGTGGCGGGGCAGCACGTGTCCATACCAGGGCAAGTCGCATCTGCGGAGAAAAAATCCCCAATATTTGGACACACAGAATGAGGAAACGTTCTCCAGGCTCTATAAATCGGACTATTCTCTTCATATAATTCTTTAGATGGGGAGGGTTACATCAAAAGAACCCTAAATATAACGGATTTTTCTCTTTAATTCTTTTAGATAGGGGGGTCACATCTAAAGGACCCTCAATATAATGGATTTCTCTCTTCATATAATACTTTAGATGGGGGGACGGGGGCGGGGGGCCTCATATTCATGTCAATCCCTAAACTTACCTTCCCCAGAGCAACAAGCCAGTATCTCGTTGGTTCTTAGTAGCGGTAATCCAGAGCGGTTCGGCTTTGGACCACCAGCGCGGGTTTCCTGTACTCTGTGAGTCAAAAATGTAAAAAATGCCTTCATCCTCAGAGTCGTACATGTAGTTGCCAACAATCCCGTGACTCTCAGGATACAAACCTAGAAGTATAGGTATGGAAAGCATGGTGCAGGTCTGGAAGGTAGCGGAACAGGTCTGGAAAGTGTGATACAGGCTTGGAAGGTGAAGGAACAGGTCTGGAAAGTGTGATACAGGCCTGGAAGGTGAAGGAACAGGTCTGGAAGGTGTGGTACGGGTCTGGAAGGTGAAGGAACAGGCCTGGAAGGAGGAGGAACGGGTCTGCAAGGTGTGGTACAGGTTTGGAACGTGAGGTAAATGTCTGAAAGGTGTGGTACAGGTTTGGAACGTGAGGTAAAGGTCTGGAAGGTACAGGTCTGGAATGTGAATGACAGGACTTGGTGACCATAAAACCACAGGAAACGGGTTAAGTATAGACAGTAAACATTTCAAGTCATGTTCTTAAACGTTACTGGTCTTCCCATCAAGAGAATGTTCAATGTTTACCAATCTATCTCAATGTTTACCAATCTGTCACAATGTTTACTAACCTGTCACAATGTTCACTAATCTGTCACAATGTTTACTTACCTGTCACAATGTATACTAATGTCACAATGTTTACGAACCTGTCACAATGTTTGCTAATGCTGTCACAATGTTTACTAATCTGTCACAATATTTGCTAATGCTGTCACAATGTTTACTAATCTGTCACAATGTTTACTAACCTGTCACAATCGTATGCCAGTTGGGGAAGGAATTGGAGGGAAAAACAGGGTTGACGTGTGTGGCGCGAGCCCCACTGTTGACGAACTTGTCGAAGCCCGCCAGACCTTCCCCACCGTGTAGCCTTACGTAGTCCCATCTGAACCTACGATGGTGGTAATAATAACTATTACTAATCCTGCGACAATGACAATAACAAATACTGAACCTGCGATAGTAGTAAATTAAGGGTGAAATTATTATACAAACCATCCACCATACATGGCTCCTGGAGGAAGATGTGACTGGAGGTATTGAACATCTTTTGGTCTTCTCTGGTTTTGCTTTTGTTGTTTGATGAAGCCAGAAATATAGTTCAGTTGGCGCGTCAAAATTCGGAGGAGATGGTTTTGATGATATGAAGGCAAAAGGAACTGAATGAGTCTCACGCCAAAGAGTTAAACAAAGAGGACTCAGAGAAGCTTATCCAAACAAGCAATGATGACGACAATGAAGACGAGACGGGTCTGCAACTTATAGTTCTTTCAGAAACTATTCAACTCAGACGAGCTCACATCGACCCATTTATGGAGTTTGACCCTATACTGGAGAGGAGCTTCGCAGTGAAGAAAAAGATTATTCCTTGGATCAGTCGGACCAAGAAACCCCACCCCATTTCCCTTTGAACTAAAGTTTCTACATTCGCAAGATTTTCAAGAACGTAGTAACCCTCGCGAATTACAATGTGACAATGAATATTTCTTGTACACTAGTGAATCAAAAGCTCCCAACAACGGCTCTTAAGTGGATTCTGGACCTATACTATGCTGCAAAGACCTTGGCTGCTGTTGTTGTTCGTGATATGTGCTCGTTCCAAAGTTAAATTTGTCTCGTTACGGCTGTCAAAACCCTCTGTCCGTTGTGTCATATTGTCTAATGCAAAATTGTAAAGATACTTTTAGAGCGAGTATACAGTCGGGAAAACCATTAAAAAAAATCGGCCTGGCAACGGTCCTGGGCTCTGTGTCTTCACACACCTCCACTGGTGATGGTACGCTTTAGTCATGGTAACATACCTTGGGCTGAAGTAACCTCTGCATAAGCACTGATAACCTATAATATCAATGCCATTGACATGATGCGGGGCCGCCACCCCCTCGTGATAACTCGAAGGCTGATGAAACTTGGTAGTTGTAAATAACCTAAAAATAGTCTTATTAAGAGATGGATACAGTAGATATTATATAATGCGCGGACTACAGTAATTTGACGACGTCCCTCTGTGCCATCACAAATACTTACACTTTCAAATGGTATACGCGATAGAGGTTTATGTTTATCATATTATAATATTTTACACTTGAATATTAAACACTCACCGAATTTCACCTGGAGATTAACCACCCCAATGCTACCTGGGGGTTAGGTTAGTATTAGGGTGGTTAATCTTCAGGTGATTCCAAATTCCATTATTTTGAATATGTAAAAGTGAAAATGGCTGTAACTCTTCCGATGCAATGTCGCAGTTGACTGAATGCAGTAATCACTAACCAATCAATTTCTAGTTAATATAGTAGTTCTTAAAGGAGCCAAGAGAGGGCAGATCTTATTGAGATCAATCGGTTAATGCCATAAAATTTCCTGACCATGGCATCACTTGAATCTGTGCAAGATAATGTGTATTCTTAGATATAGACTATGTAACTGGTATTATATTGACATTTAATGAAGAGACGAGTAACTCTTATGCCTTTGGGGAACATCATTCCCGCTTGAACTTCAAGAAGCACACTAACCCACACACATGAGGAATAAGGTCGGGGAAAACGCTTCAAGCATCTCCTCGTCTAACAACTTATCCATATCATTAGTGAATAACGAATACCCCACCGTGCACGACCACAGCCCCAGGCCCCTTGTGTTGCATTTTCGAGATAGTTTAAGCCACTTACGTTATCAAAACGGCGGTGGCGCTTATGGGTTAATTGTTTCTTTATTTAGATTTACACAATAATCGAAACCAAACCTGGTGGTGGAGAAAAGGAAAGACGGTTGTAAAAGTGCAGCAACTATCTTGTGGCTTTCAAGATTAAAAAACTAGACATCATTATACCCAAGGAACCATCGAGTACTGGTGCTGTAGCTAGTGGGTAGTTCCTGTCGAAATCAGAAACAACCGTTTTTTGTCCTTCCGAAATAAACTCATTCATTTTTTTTTTCTGAATATAAGACCCATGTTTTGAATGAAAATTCCGAACCAAGCAAATCTGTATTGTTATCATTGATAATAATAATAATAATGGTTGTCCCACGGCACGAGGTGACGTACAGCCCAAGAGCCAACAGAGGTTCAAGGTGCAAGCTGTCGCCAACAACAACCAATAACACTGAATTTAACGAGTTGTATGACCTAGTGTCAAGAATAGTCCGAGAAGACCGGACAACTCGCCAACTGTACCACAACCAACACCCTGGAACACGATCCACAAAATCAATAACATCCAAGTTCCCACCTGTTGCTGGGTAGACAGAAGCAAATGGCGTAAAGAACCTGCCCATGTTCTTCACCCTTGCCCTGGGAATCGATCCGAGACCACTGCTTGCGAGGGTTGGACCACTTACACAGGCCCAAAGGTTCTTACCCCCTGAAGCTGAGTTCCGAAGGGAAACCCGAAGTTGAAGAAAGGCCAGCGAACACACACACAATACTCATCTGTAAATGGAGACGAGGGACGATAACGGTGGGGCGACACAACAGAAGTGCCAGCAGGCCCAGCACTTCGGGCACAGCCACCTGTGACAAACACACGAGCACAGGTATAGTTTATATTATTCAAAAACATTGACAAGATACGGCATAAGTTGGATAGTGGCCATAATAATTTTATGAATAATATATAATCAATACACAAAGCATAGTGCATGTCCGTTCACCCGGCTTTTTCTTCAACCTGGCTTCTCCTCCAGTCTGGATTGTGACTGTACCAAACTATATCATTACTATTTTATCTAGACCAAGATAAGACGACACCGTATCGTCACGCGATGTGCAGTTACATCAAACATCATGAGAACTGTGAAACTGGACGAAGCTCACCCATCCAAGAGAATATAAGTGGACGTTGTGGGCGATGAGAAGAACGTACGCCCACGCACGCCCAATACACCACCAGAACAACAGCAACGTACTGCATGGTGATCCACACTAGTCAAAAAGTTGAGTTGGGGAGGATACAAACTCTTCCTGAAGATCCAATCTCGACAATGAGCACTGCCCAGTGAGCAGGGCAGAGCGGCTGGAATTTAGTCTGAACCTGAACTCGGCTGAGGTGCTGACAGTGACTTTGTGATGAATCGGACCGTTGGACAAGAAGGTATGATGGTGACGAAACATTTGAAGTTTTAACTGACGGCCGGTTGTGTAAATCCTCAGTATTATAAACCCATATATTTCGGCAGAGTAAGTTTTAAGAGGAAAATAACAATACAAGATCTCATCCATATGATAAAAACGTAAAGAAATAATATGTACAACATAACACATGGGGAACTGAGTTGCTGTAAATTAGCAAAATGTTATGGAACGAACTTATGAACCTCTTTATTATACCACACATGATAAGAATTGGAGGTTAATTGGGGTTATCTGTTAGTTATATTCATAGAACAAAAGAGACATTGCCTGCGATATTTACATCGTATAGCACTGAATTTCAACAGACGAAGTAAAAGCACCTTAATATTAAACATCTCCAGGGTCGTCAAGGCAGGATAGAGTTTTCAATTGACATCCAAAGCAAGTGAAGCCATGACAGGTGCCTGGGAAAACCTATGTGAAGTCGTCAAGATAAACTGAATTATTCATTTATAAAAGAAAGAAACCGAATCGGCCTGCAGCTGTGAATCGGCTGCTTGTCCAATTATCCAGTCCGTCATTACATATTTATATTTGGGTTTAAGCAACGAAAACCCAAACGAAGTTCCTTTTGTTTTATTATAAAGGTTGTATATATAATCTTGAGTGTATATCAACCGTGGGGTGTCTCACTGTCTAGGAGGAATGAGAAAGGACGGCGTTTATAAAGGATAAAACGTTAGGTCACGTCCTTACGATATGAGTTGGAGGTGAGCTACTGGCTTAGGGGCATCGCAGTGTGTGCTTACAGAAATGCTTATTATGGGTCTCGCCCTCTGGGTGAGTTACCCGCTCACGTGTCCATATCATGTCTCACCTGGCAGACAGTGGAAAGTTACAGGGGGTGAATTGAATATAATATCAGATGTATTGACCTATTTATAGCAATACGTTCTGTTGATATATAGGGCCTATTACATTCGCGCACTATTCATGTCCCAGAAAGTAAGTTTTGGCTCGAAAGACGTCTTTAAATAGCCTTATGAGGTTCGGTTAGGGGTTATTTTCCTCACATTTGAGTAGAAAGGAACTCTCGAACCCCTTTATAATCAAGTGTTCTGCAATAGTTAGAATTGGCTTCTGTGAATCCTATGGAGTATTCAGAAAGGGTGATCGTCATCACGAACACTCTACAGGCCGATGAGTTTGATCAGCATAGTGCATAAAAAGGAGAGTATTATACGACTGCCGAGGCTTAAGATCCTCGTGAAGAAAAGCCAGCACGTGTTTAAGTCATACCCTCAGCTTCAGCTTGTAATTGCCGAATGTGTGTCACAGATCCTGGAGCGGTGGCGTCGATAACATATACCTTTACTTCTGCTCTGTTATCATGCTAATAAGTTACAAGGACTTATGCGAGTATCTTATACTGTACATACGGTATGGTGCTCCCCGAGATTTGCTCGACTGCCAGTTGATTGATAAAGCCCAAGGGGGTCACTAACTGGTGCCGATGATGAGCATTTTGACGCTCCCACTTGCTTAGTAAGTTAGTTTAAGGCCAATACCTTCAAATGGAAGGGTTAAGCAAGTGAAGACGGATGAAGACGGGAGTACCGGTGTAGCAGTTAAAAGTGAAGTCTGGATAAAAATAAAGTGTTTTTCCCAACATATCGTACGGCACCACGGAATCTCAGAGCAACTGATTGGCTACTGATATTAGACTTCCATGCTTTTGGATGTATAATAATTAAATTGATTAAGATGTAATGAAACAAACTCTTTTATTATAAAAACGTTTTATTTCCACAGCTTATGATCTACTAGCAGATATCTGATTTTCAAACGGTCATATATGACATTGTTAGATTCCCGTATGTATATTTATTTAAATCAATACTGTATATGAATGAATAAAACCATTGAACTGTACAGTATTAATATATTAATACCTTACCAAAGAAGATCTCTCCAGATAGTAAAACAGAAGCTGCACCGCAATATGAAAGGATTGTCCATTCTTCTGTGGATAATTACTGGGCCAAATTATTCTGCTCATGTTATTTTGGTCAACATCACATAACAGCTTACATCAATAATCTCTGCTGACATCTTGTTTCTCTTGGAACTCTTCACTGTGTGATACAAAACAAAAGTAACTATATATTCAGTTGTTTTGAATCACATTAAAATAAATCCGAGTCTGATGACATTTGAGTTTACTGTAATAGAAAATACAGGTAGTTCATTAAAAAATGCTGCCCACATTAATTAGTAGAATAACTATGTGCTAAGAAATGGAGTCTGTTCAGATTATTGTAATTAATGTAAATAATTAAAGTATTTCTACACCTTCACCTGTGACAACGAAGTCGAGTGGCAGGTAGCACATGTTAAATACAACACACACTACATGTGGTAGCACATGTTTAATACCACACACACTACATGTGGTAGCACATGTTTAATACCACACACTACATGTTAAAGGCAAGTTCTGGTGTGTGTTTGCGTGTGTGTGTGTTTGTGTGTGTGTCAGGACCAAGTTGCTGCAGATTTATTAGTTCATTGCACAATAATGCCAGTTGTACAATTCCCTGATCAGTCTGCCAGGCACTAAATAACGATACATTATTCTTAATAAAGTCCAGAACCTTGACGTTTGTGCATCAAATTATCCTCGTGAGCAAAAATATAAATGGTACATTGTATACATTCTGCGTTGTTTATGTCTTGTTTCAGTGAAGATTGTTCTATTCTCTTAAGGTTTATCCACATGCTGTACTTAGAAAAGGTGAAGGAAAAGAATACATTACAGGACACTATTGAGATAAGTACAGTATGGTTGATTAGTACAGATATTACATGAAAGCCCAGGTAAGCTGAACCAAAATACGAAAAGTGTACCACATCCAGGTATGAATTTAATTGATTTTATCACTGATGTACAGTTGCCTGCACTTATACCTACATGGTACAGTGGCTGCATTCTGGGTTGCAGGTTTAAATTACATTGTTTTTCAAGTTGGGATGCTAATGTATTATTGCTTGGAGCTGTACTGTATATGTTTTTTCGAACAATCTAAATGGGATGGATATACAATGTCTCCCTTTAGTTACAACACAAACCAAATAAAATATGTATATTTCCCTTTTTTTCTCTGGTTTCCTAATTTTTCCACCCAGCTTGATTGCAGTTGTCAACTATCACGAAGTTTAAAGTTTATCTCCCCAATCGTAGTAGGAAGTGTTAGCAAGCTGTATGCTGTCTTAAATTTAAAGAAATTATAGTGTATGTGTGATTCTTATCAGAACATTCAAACATGTAATGTATTTCGGCCTTATCCACCCTGAATTACTGTATATATATTTTCAAGACTGAAAGCTGAAACTTAATCTTTTTATTACAGCTTTCTACTTTTTGTGGATATCATGAAGATTAAGTCTACCTGCCCGCTTGCTTTTGATGTTTTCTCAACTTATATTTATCTACCTCCTTATTTATGTTATTTCATGTACTGTACAACATGGTATAGCCTCTTCTTTTATTTAAGGAACATCATTGTTCGTGAATAAATAAATATATAAATGTATAAGCAGACAATCATGTATATTTATGCAATGGCTGCTGAGAATAAAAATGTATATGGCTTATGACAGGAGTCTAAGACTAAAGACAAGCTCATCCTCTAGACAATA